AAAATCTGAGTCAGGGTTTGAAAGATCTTAAATGAATACCTTTTTCCTGAATTTTGAAAACCTGAATCAGGGTCAGGAATGAAATGGTAACTTGGCATTTCATCCTTTTTTTAATCGTGACCCTGACTCAGGTTTTCAAAACAGCTTAGGAAAAAGGCTTTTCATTTAAGATCTTTCAGACCCTGACTCAGGATTTCTACGCAGGTTTCCGATCCAAGGGAAAGCCTGAGTCAGGGTCAGGATTAAAAAAAAGGATGAAGTGCTAAGTTAACATTTCATCCTTTTTTAATCCTGACCCTGACTCAGGTTTTCGAAGCAGCTCAGGAAAAAAGGTCAAGTTCGGAAGATAAAAAAGCCCTTGCAATTATGGATGGTAATACTTTCAAATTAAAATACCAAAATTTGAAATAAGCTCATCAAAAGACCCCGCTTTTTCGGTAAGGGTGGAGCACCTAATTTGCCGGTTAATAAACCGGTCACGAGTCACGTGCGTCCAAACTTCAAAGGGCCCCATTTTAAACTTGGAAACAGTCGCGCAATTTTTTCACGCGTGTGAAATAAAATACCTCTCCTGACCGCGAAATTTGAAAAATAAAATCGCGCAAAATTTGAAAAATTAAATTTTCGAAAAAGAAAATTCTAGCCTCTGCGGTTTCAGGCCTCCTTAACCTTGACACGCATGTAGCGGTCGGGGAGCGAATTCTAGCGCAGGTGGGGTTAATTGTATTTTATAAATAAAAAGAAAAGCGGTTTCAAAAACTTTGAAAAAGACGAAAAATTGTTGTTCGAAAATGCCCTCAAAAGATAATTACGAAAAAGCAACATTTTTTAAAACGAAAAAATGCATTTTGCATTGAACAACCTAAATGCTTCCCGCGTCCAGCCAAACAAGGAAAGGCGCCTTTCCTGAGTACGTAGTCAAATAGACACGTAATTTCTTTCTTGCAGGAAGTTCCAAGCTTTCTTTTCCAGCTTCGTTAATTATTTTTTGAAAAGTGGGTTCTATCAAATTCGGAATAAAAACAACCACAAGCCACTTGGAATCCATGCGCTTGATTGAAAGAAAAGAACATGTCTCGCAGACAAAGAAAAATATTCCAAGAGGAGGGACATTAATTTCACATTGAGGACACGTCCAGGTCAATTCCGCAACACTGGAGGACGGCCAAATGATTTGAAGAACGGGCCCAGGTGAATCGAAGCTCCCTGACCTTTGGTTGGTGAACCTAGTTTCGAAAATCTTCTTTGCTGAATTAAATTTGAATAAATTTTCGAAAAAATGAAGGTGTTTTATGAGATTGAAGAGGGTTGGCATAAGTTCTTTTTGAAGATAAGGGTCTCAACTCTATTTTGAGAAGAAAAATAAGGGTGTCACAATCTTAATTCTACTCGTCAAAGTTCGAAAAAGAACGCTATTCATGATGACTCCCTTAATTCAGACGGCAAACGTTTTTTAGTTATTTTTCAATCTTAGTACAGTGACGCCCTTATTTTTCAGTTGAAAACTAATTTGAGAGCCTTATAAAATGAAGAGCCTTAATATTTTTGATGAAAAGCTCAAAGGATACTGAGTCACGTGGCAAAAAAGTTCATCATTCCAAAATCCCCAATAATTGCCAATTACTCTTGTTTTCCTCAAAATCAGTCCCCCTCTTTACACGATTTGCGTGATAAAAAGTGAGGCTAACTACCGCGCATCTTTAATTTTACGCGTTATTTGCCCCTTATCTTTCTTTTTACTGAAGCAGATGGCGAAAAGTACCTCAGCGCTCGTTTTGGCGATAAGAGTGGGCAGCCTTTTATCGGCGAAATCGAGTTGGAAATTTGAAAATCTAATTTTGAGAATTTTAAAGAGCACAATCGACTCAACGGATAATTTGTTGGGAACGCGGCAGGGAGGATCGATGCTGCTCTAAAAGAGCTCAAACGAAAAGCTCTTCCGTAGAAAGCGGCAATTGGCTTTTATCGCGAAAAATAACGAATTCTTTTTTGCCGAAAGAGTTTCTTTTGTCTGAAAAAAAGTCTGGCAGACATTTTTTGAGAAATGTCTACTAGACAGAAAAAGTCTACTAGACAGAAAAAGGGAAGATGGCAAGAATCGACAATTTTTGATCAATTATTTTAGCAAAAATTTTGAGAAACTTTTTGACCAATCAAATTTCCGCTTTTTGCCTGTAGGCCAATCAGATTTCAACCCTTGTCCTAACCCTGATGCTTTCTTAGTACTATGACAAATTTGGCCAGCCATCAGCGTAAAAGTCAATAAATCATTCAAAAATTTCCATCGTCCTCGATATTTCTTCAAAGAGCTGCAATTCGGAGCGTTCAAATATGACGAAAATTTCCCGCTCGGGCCGTGATTGAAGAGGATAAAGAACGGAAAAGAGGGATGGGCAAACACTCGGCGATCTGACTTGTGGGCCCTTGAGAGCTTTGATAAGCCGGCTAATGATTCAAGAATCGCACCTTCCACAAAAGAGCCCTGTCACGCCCGTTTCAAACTGTCGGATAAATTTAGCTGTCTGGCAGAAAAACGAATTGGCCTGCGCGGGACTTCTTTTATCTTTTATTAGAAACACGTCTTTAGGTACACTCGCCGCAATAACTGTATCTGCTCGATTCGACTAAGAGCCAGTAAAACCATTACAGTCAGTTACAGTCGCCTCAAACTACGTAAAGATGTACTGTAAAGACCTTTTGGGGGAACCGACAAAAAATCGACAAATTTTGCGTGGAAATTTTCAACCAATCAGAAGCCTGGATTCGGCAAACGGGCGAATCAGCAGCCGAGAAGCAGCCCACGCAAAATTTGTCGAATTTTTTGTCGGTTCCAGACACCACCCCTTTTTTGATGAATTTTGAATCGAAACTTTTATTCCGTAAAAATTCGGAACGAGGAATAAAAATGTTTTGGCTCTCCAAATCCTTGTGAGAAGAGAGAAGAGAGCGATTGCTGTTTACCCCTGTCCGGATTTCGGCTCATCCCTTTTTCGTAAATCAAAAGGTTGAAGCATAATCCCCTCCTTTCCAAAAACCATCGTGATGTAAAATTTCTAACCGGGCAAATTGGATGTAGCCTCCTTTTTGGAGAGAAATTGGCCTGTTTCCCAATCTGTTCCTGTTGTTAAAAAATAAAACGGAAATGCACACGCAGCGAGGGGCACTGGTAAACGGCACCCGCCGGATCAAGATGTTTCTTTTAGACTTGATGAAGATTAAAAAATTTGCGCAGCAGGGAAGAAGAAGAAGAAAACTGCAGGTTTTGCGTTATTGTCAATATTATTGACAATGACAATAACTTATTGATTATCGCTTCTCGTTAGATACGGGCTTTTTGATCGGCAATCGAGCGGAAGAAGGGTGCCTTAATCGGGTTTCAGTATGTTCCAACTGTATTTCTTCTCAAGCTACGGTTTTTCGACTTGTTCCAGTTTTCTCAGAAATAGAGGAGAAACACCCTTAATTTTGAATCAAAATTATGACGTCAGGCACACTCCACTTTGTGTCGGGGTCAAAACTTCGCACCTGGAAAGAACGGGCAGGATCTCCAGCCGAGCAAATAGGATGCAAGGGTCGGCCGACATGTGCTAACTCCTGCAGAGACTGCTCTCAGCGCAAAATCGGAGCTGCACTCGGCACGAGATGTGTGAGCCATTGAGTAAGTACAGTGTATGATCACAGGGCATATTGAGTCCAAGATCAGGATCAAGCTCAGCCGCGTATAAGTCTCAATAAATTATTGACAATAATGCGAAAAAATATAAGTTGGACAAATCTTCTAATTTTTAGCTTACTATTGGCGAAATAAGGGTGAAAGAAAGGTTATTAATAATAACTTATTATACACCTCCTGAGGCACGAGAGTCAAAAAATTAGCTTTCGCGCAGAAATGCCTTGAAGTTTTGAAAAAAGTAAAAAAAAAAACTGTAGATATCTATCGCTTAGCTATTTTTTAAAAACTCTTGGTTAGGGTTAGGGTGAGGGTTCCTGAGGTGTTTTGGCGGGTCGGCTAAAAATGACAATTCGGTAGGGTAAGATTAATTAAAAAATATTTACTTCCCTTAACCCTGGTTTTCACAATTTTGGTCCGTGCGAGGACCATTTCGTCCAAAACCGTGGTGGGGATCTTTTAAAGTCAGTTTTGACGCCGAAATCGGAATCTACGCCCTTGATTACCCCTTGAGGCAAGAATTGACCAATTTTTATTTTTGAGTTTTCCATTTTTTCATATTTGAAGCTTATCCGCGGCTGAGATTGATCCTAATCTTGAGCTCAATCTGCCCTGTGATCATATTTACTCAATGGCTCACACATCTCGTGCCGAGTGCAGCTCCGATTTTGCGCTGAGAGCAGTCTCTGCAGGAGTTAGCACATGTCGGCCGACCCTTGCATCCTATTTGCTCGGCTGGAGATCCTGCCCGTTCTTTCCAGGTGCGAAGTTTTGACCCCGACACAAAGTGGACAACCCCTGACGTCATAATAAATTTATGTGGATATTACTGCATACTTTACTACAGAGTCTAGTCTAATTTGTATTGCAATAATTTTTCGAGTCGTATATATCGAAATAGATTCTGATAGCCAAAATCTTAAAATCATGTTTTCAAATCATATTTATTTGCATTAAATCTTGGATTCCCATAACATATAATTCGATCTTCCCCCTCTCTGCCCAGCTCTCTACCCCCCTCCACCAAGTCTTGCCTCGTCTGAGCCCGAGACCATTGTCTTCTCCGTTGCACCTCGCTAGCGCCAGAATCCGCGCCGCTCGGACTCTCTCGTAGCTGGCGCGCTTGAGCTCCACCGCGCCGCGCTCCGTCCCCGCGCGCGCTCTCGGGATCGAAAAAAAATACAATTGTAAAGCACCAACAATCTAAGGTGGATCCTTAATTTTTTTTACTACTAACGAAGCAACCCTTCTTCTTTTTTGAAAACAGAGCTAAACGAGCTAAAAGAAAAGAGATTTTGCTGAAAAAAAACGAAAAACGAAAAACGAAGAAATGATATTATTTTGCATGCTTTTGTATGCCGTAAAAGGTACGGGATACACCCTTAATCATTAATGAAATGAATGTACTCGGCAAAAAAGAATAATAAAAAATCGATAATGGGGAAGCATGAAATCTCATTTTTGAAGATTCAAGATCATTGAAAAAATTGAAGAATATTTTCGTAAAATTAAGGGTATCCATGTAATTTCGTGATTTCGGAAAATTGAAAAATTGGGGAGATTGAGTGATGATTTGATGGATTGGAAGCGATTGGATTGATTTTTCTTTGCCAGGAGTAATTTTTAATTATCAATCAAGCGCGTAGAAAAACTAATTTTATGGGTTGACCTTAAGGGTGTACCCTTTGATTGCTAATTAATTTTCAAATAACAGGTTTTCAAGTTCAAAAAGCATCGATTTTCGCGCGAAAAAAATAAGGGTATCTCCCTCTTTTCTCGGTTTCATTTTGGCTCAATTTCTTAGTGATACCCTTAAGAAAAAAATCATGTTTTATTAAAAAATTTTCTTTGCTAAATTCGAAATTTTTTGATTTCGTTTGTTTTATTTAATAATTCGAGGTGGGAACAAAATTTAAGAGTATACATTGGCGCCCGACCAGAACATGAAAAAATGACAGTCTCAAAAACGCAAAACATTGTTTTATGATAATTTCAATTTTCGCGATGACGAAAAAGCATTCAGTTTTTCATGCAATCAAATTATCCCGTGCACTTTTTCTTCAACTTTTCAAACCGCTAATTCGTGAAACTCGCAAAATTCGTAATTTTCATCTTTCGGGAAAAAATGCGCGGAATAACAAACAAGACCCGTTTTTGGTAAAACAAGGATAAAGACAACAAAGTATTCGTAAACATGGTTCACGGGAAAAAACATGAATACTTTTGCCACACGTTTTCAGAGGCTTTTTTTGTGGAATTAAGGTTCTACCAGCCGATATTTACAAATTCGAAATTGCAAATTTGTGAGAAAAAAATCATGAAAAACGGTTAAAAATCTCAATTTTTCGACTGATACACCCTTATTTTCGGTATTTTTCTTAAGGGTATCTCTTCCTTATTCGTTTTTTCAGAGGATTTCTATCGTATAATTGACTGTATGATCCTCAAATAACAGTTTTTTGTATGAAAAGTTTTTTGCCTGGATATCGAGTGGTAGAGCCTTAAAACCATTATAAACGGTATATTGAATCCAATGACTCTTCGTAAAAAAGCCTTCTTTAGTAAATTAAATTTTTCGTATATTCCGGCGTTGACGTATTTGTTTGCGCAAATTGTGCGCATTCTGATCCTCTAATGCGCTTTTCAAAATTTCCCAACTCAGGCACTAGAATTTGCCAGGCATATTATTTGGACTACTTAGGAGCGGATTATCCCATTTTTACGTTTATTTCTGGCGTCGGGCAGAATATAAAACTGTCGTGGAAATTCTCAAAAGACCCAAAAAAGCGGGGAGACCCTTAATTTCAAGAAATTCGTGGGCGGGAAATTGGGTTAAAAATTTGAAATTTTCATGAGAAAAAATGAAAAATTCTCGCATGTTGACAATTCGCTCAAATTGGTACTTGCCAAATTTGTCTGTGTCACAGCGGGGTGCCGAATCGGCTGATAGGAGACCTGCTCGGCGGGAGACTATCTTGGTGGGAGACAAAATGGACAAATGAACATGGCAGGAGACTCTAGAAATAACCTACAGAGGTCAATTTGTTTGAACACGGCATTTGAACAGGGCGATTAAAAATCTTGAGAAAATTCTGATTTCGATCGTTTTTTCGATTTTCGATTTCTTGGAGATTTCTTGAGATTCCTTATCGCTGTTTTCTTAGGACTGAAATACAGTGATTGCGCCCTGTGTGAATAAGCTGCATCTGAAGGGTCGTCCACTCGGCAATGCAAATTCTTATTCAACCAGAATGAAAATGAATCCATTGTATAAATAATTTTCTCCTTCCGGGGCTCTTGAGATTCCACCACGATTTTACAGTAATACTGTAATACAATCATTTCTTCGTCAATATAAAATATCTTCCTGAACGAATGATTAACCCTTTCCAGGCCTGAGCGCCCCTTTTTTGATGAAAATCAGAATGTTGCATCAAAGAAAGATTTAGGCAACCTCTTCAATGAACCCTGAAATGCATTTTTCTAACCCCTTCCCGTCCTGATTAATCTCCACGGCGGCATAATCAAACTCCCCGGCGCTTTGCTTTCCCGTTTTAACCTCTTTCCGCATCTGTGGCTCCTTTTTTGTAGAACACTTACGAAAACTGCGAACAGTTCACTCTTCTTGTTGTTTGTGCGAGAAGTGAGCATTATCGCACGCGAGAAGGATCGGACGACGATGGGTTAAAATTTTAAGTCCCCCTCGTCGAGTAGCACCTGTGAGGTTTACTTACGCAACCACGGAAATTGGTGGGTGCCGATTCGCGTGAACCCCTTTAGAATCATAGAATTTCTGCAGCTCAGACTTTGCTCAGAGCCAGCTCAGGAGAAAACCGCCCGATTCTGGAGAACCAAGCGGTTTTTAACCCAAAGAGAAGTGTTGTTTTATTCAACGATGCGTATTTCCTTCATCATCATTTAGTCGATTTTTCGGAGCCATTGATGCAAATCCTCCTTTTTTTAGAACATCCGGACATCATTAAAATAGTGGGGTTTTTACGAAGTGTCAGACTTACGAACCGGAAGTCAAGTTTTCATTTAGCGCATCTCGGACTGACAAGGGTTTACTGTTATCCGCCCTTTGAAATTGATTACGACGATAAATCTTGATTCCCATCGTAAAAGTGTACTAAGGGCAAATTGACATTCACATTTGTTTTTCGCTCGGGGATCAAAAGGGATCATAATTTAGGGCCACAATAAAAAAGCGAAAATAGGAAGCTTTTCGACTCGAAAATTAAAAAAAAATAGTTGCGCAAAGTTCCTTTTTAACCGCATGGGACAGAAGGTGTATTCCACTGCACTTAAGGACTTTTCAGCTAAATAACTTCCGAACGGATTGTCAAAATTAGATAAAAATTAAAATGGTTGTTCCTTCATATAATTGGAGCAGGTCTGATAAGTTTCAAGGAATTATCGGTTACCAACCGCCCTCTGCACCGGATTATATGCGGCCTAATTGCCCTCCCGCTGAGTGTTTGCACATTGAAACCGAACCAATATCAAGAATTTTGTCTACTAAAAGGGGTTTTATATGTTTTCCATATCGCTGATTTCAAATATTGAATTTACTTTTTCGAGAAATCTAAATAAGAGATAATTTTTGAAACCCCCCTGAGATAAATGGCATTTTTATTGCAATAAGGAAAAGCGCTATGCAAATTTTGATAGCGGATTTGAAATCTACACCCCAAAATTAGTATTGGGTATAATTTTCAAGTTTATCCGACCAGTAGTTTTCTTAAGTGCAGTGGAATACACCTTCTGTCCGAGCGCCTCTATCCCCCGATCTGTCCCATGCGGTTAAACTTGGCGCCAAAAACTAAAATTGATCAGAAAAGGATGAAAATAAAAGGAACCTACTGGAACAAATATGGTAGGACTCGGTATTGCTGATCAGATTGTCTCTTTTTTTTTTCGCCAGTGCGCCTAACACTCGCTCCAAATATTATGCATGCAAGGGTTAAACAGTTTGCGATTAAAATTTTCTCTCGCCGCGTTGCTTGGGCGTTATCGCCCTGTTTGTATCTTCATCCCATTTTCTACGAGCCTGGCCGTCTCTCAGCAGAATCGCCGCTTCTCGAAAAAACGATTCGAGATAACTTTTTGCTGAGCGTTTGTGGACAAAAGTTAACATGGTGATAAAATACTGAAGAAAAAGGTTGAAGCCGACTTTTGTATTTTTTCCATTTTCTGCTGATTCTAGCGCTGAAAAAACAAGCTGGCGAAATTTTTCTAAAAGAAACATTTAAACAGAAAAGCTCAAAATTAACCAATTATATTTCTTTATTTTGGGCGCCAAGTTCAAAAATGAAATTTGCGCAACTCAATTTTAAAATGATTTTCGACTCGAAAACAAGCTCCAACATCAAAAATTCTGGCAAAAGATTTGAAAGCATTTTTGGCATTCGATTTAGCCAGCGTCTAAAGTGGCCAGGTGACCCTTAAGTTGGCATCTGTTCCGTTCAGCTTCTAACACTATCTCTCAATTTTTGTCTAAACTGTGTAAGTATCCCCGTGTCCGTTCTCTGCTCGCTTTGTTTTGCTTTCCCCTTCCTTATCGAAAGGAGTTTTAGAGCTGCAAGCTGTGGCGAGTAAGGGGCCGAACCAGCACACCACTCATTAGCCACTTTCTAAGCCAAGCTCACATTTAATTTTCGCTCACTTGGACGAATTTCAATAAGAGTTTTTCGGCCAAAAAAATGGCCCCCCTTTTTATGTGCTCATATGAAAGAGCGTAAAAAGTTATGCTAGAAAAAAATATTTTTTTTTGCCCGAGGGCATAAATTATGACTCATAGGTCAGTTTGAAAAATTTTCAGTAGATTCAAGCATTTTGATAAACATTTTCAGCATTTTGTGGATACTAAGAGCGTGAATAACTCTGAACCGCTTTGAACCGGGCGGTTACCTTAGTGGTTCGGTTCAAATATCTGTTTTAAAGACTCCTATTGAGTAGAAAAGCATTCTGATATACATATGTCCACATTTTGTGATTATTCAGAGCGTGAATCGCTTTGAACCGCTGTTAACCGGGCGGTTAGCCAAGTGGTTCATTTTCAGTTTTGAAATATTTTTAGTTCATAAGATTACTCAGTTTTCAAAGTTTTGCAGGTTTGAAAATTATTCAGCTTTGAAAAATTTTCAGTTTTGAAAGCAATTTTTGAAAAAATATTCATCAGCAATCCCGAACCGGGCGGTTGACCATGCGGTCATGTGTTTTCATGCTCAAAAATGAATCCAGCATCAAAAAAGAAGTCGATTGATATGTATATTGGTATGAGTACTATGCCTAAGGAAATGAACCGCGGTGAACCACGCGGTTAACCGGGCGGTTGACCATGCGGTCATGTGTTTTCATGCTCAAAAATTAATCCAGCATCAAAAAGAAGTCGATTGATATGTATATTGGTATGTGTACTATGACTAAGGAAATGAACCGCGGTGAACCACGCGGTTAACCGGGCGGTTTACCGCGGTTGAGGGGTCTACCAAAAGCTTATGTCCTGAGGATTCTAGTGACGTCAAAAATCCCGAAAAATAAGTGCCCGGAGGCTATTTAGGGGAGTTTGAAAATTTTTCAAACTGACCTATGAGTCATAATTTATGCCCTCGGGCAAAAAAATATTTTTTCTAGCATAACTTTTACGCTCTTTCATATGAGCACATAAAAAGGGGGCCATTTTTGGCCGAAAAATTCTTATTGAAATTCGTCTTGAGCACAACTGTCATAAGACAGCTAATCGTAAGGGTAGAGAGTTCAAGATAACCAACCGCCAATTCGAAATAAGCGGAAACTATATGTTTCTTGGCAACACTAAGTTTAAGGGCCTCCTTCTCGATAACTTTAAGTCTAGATTTTTGAGCCAGAAATCGTCATTTGAGGCCATTTTTGGGTCAAAATTGATTCTCAAATTTATCGAGAGGTAGATCCTTAAATTTTTGAGCTATTTTCTTAAGGGGGTCAATCATGAAACTTTGTTTTCGAGATTTCGTCGTTGACACCCTTAATAGAATGGGTCAAAAATTTAAGGGTCTCCCTAACGATAAGTTTGATGATCAATTTTGAGCCGAAAAAGCGCTAGAATCGAAGACTTTTGGCTCAAAAATCAAAGCAAAATTATCAACAGGGAGGTCCTTAAATTCAAATATACCGAAAGATCTAACGGAATTGAGGACGTTTCTATCCCAAAATTGGCTACTCCCTTAATCCTCTCCTACTTGCGTGGGTATAAGCATATGCTCCCAAAAGCCTTTCCTTCGTAAAAAGAAGCAGCTTCTTAAATCGTCAGTCATCTTTTTCGATTTCCGGGTCTGCGGCACTCTGCGGAAGCAAAAAATACCACCGCCTTTCAATTTTTTTTATTTTCCGCTTTATTTTCATTTCCATTTCTTGGCCCGTTAATTTGCGCCTTTCTTGCTCCTTTTTCGGGAAACAGCGCTTGGAATATACAAAAACGAGTCTGTAAAACTGTCAAGTTTCTAATTTTGGATCCAACATGTTATAAAATCATAATTCTAGCGCGCTCTCGACGCGTTTATTTGCGGTTCAAAGGGTTGTTCGAGATTTTTCAGTGTATTGAGAATAACCAATTTCTTTCTCTTATCGCTCCCTTAACGTTTTCGATTACTCGCCTTATCGAAAAATGTTCCACCGCCGTTATCTGGCACGCTAGAACTCGGATTTTAGGCGCTTCCTTAATTTTAATCGAGTCTTTTTCAATTTAACCCACTCGCGCGGGGAGTAGGTAAATTAACCTGTTTAGCCGTTTTACCAATTTTTTGGTCAAGTCTTTCGCCCAAGATTGATGCCAAAAAATTGGTCTAAAGAGTAAACAGGTTAATTTTCGTGCACGATTATTGCCCGCCCCGCGCGAATGGGTTAAAAATGGAGACTTCTTTTTTCTGTTGGAAATCTTTTATGTCATCATTTTTTTTGTTTTGTCTTACATGATCTAACGATAAACTTTAGGCTCAACATTGAGCTTCGGCGCGGAACCAGAAGCAGTACAAGCGATCATCGGCGAAAAAGTAACACTCCAATGCCGCGTCGATGGGAACGAGAAAGAAGATCGCTACATGGTTCAATGGCTCAAAGGTAACGATTAAGGATCCACAGCCGCAACAATGGCGAACATAAAACCCTCATTCAAACCGCAGCCCCAACCGGAACCGTCTTTTGTATTCACGAAACAAAATAACTAGCAAGTTCAAAAACGAATAAAAAACGATAGTTTTTTGAAGGGCGAATTAAAACGATTAGTTTTTTGGCGCCAAGCTCAAAAACACAATTTTCGCACTATTAAAAATTTCGAGTCAAAAAAGACTTTTTCGGCTCGAAAATGAACTGACTAGAAATGACTCAATTCTTTGTATTTTCGACTCAAAACCTCAAAAAATGCGTAAATTTATCTACAACAAGTTAACAAGTCTAACCCATTTCCGCACCAAAAGCCATTCTATTCATGTTTGATTGGGAAACCGTCAACTTGAAAATGAAAAATGAATTGAAAAATGATCAAGTTCCGGGCCAGATGACCTTGTAAATTCATCGGGAAAAAGAGAATGATTTGGAATTCATAACTTTCGACGCTCGCCGGATTCCACAGATCCCGAAAAATGTATCAATGCCAAGAAAGGCATCTATTGCGCCAAATTGGGCTTCTTCCGGTTTAGGGTTAAGACTCAACTTCTCCCACTCTTCTGGCAGGGCGACAAGATTTTTTTAACAGCACTAGTCAAAAAGATAGTGGACGGAATTAAGGAAGGACGCAAAGCCGGATGAACGTAAAATTATGTTTTTGGACTTGGCGCCATAAAAGCGTTAAAAAATCTTAAGGGTATCAACAGCAATACGATTTTGTTGAATTATGCGTCGGGATTGCTGTTGATACCCTTATGATCTTGATGAAGGGAATGATCTTGGTCTTAAGGGTATCAACAGCACTGCGATCTTGCTCAAAAAGCCTGTTGATACCCTTAAAAATCCTTTTGAAAAGGAATCATCTTCATATTAAGGGTATCAACAGGACAAATTAAGCTTTAGCGCTGAAAATTTAATTGCTGTTGATACCCTTAAAAATAATAATCTAGGATGGATTACCCGGATTTTCATTGTTTTCCTTCAAAATTTTTTTCTTTCCCTTTTCTAATTATTATTTCTAGCTGGATTGGGACTTGGATTTCCTCCCCTTCTGAAATCCCGCTACTCCGCAGCAATCGGCGCTTCTGACTACTCGTTGACCATCGATAACGTCCAGTTGTCCGACGAAGACCAGTTCGAGTGTCAGATTACTCCTGCCGGGCTACGCTCAAAGGTAAATTTCAAAATCGAACAGCGCTAGAATTCGGCTGCAGCTGCGCAATTAAATAAAACTCGATCATGAATTAATATACAGAAAAAAACGATAAGCGACAGAACTCAAAAACTTATCGTGAGCAGGGGCAGATAACTTTTTTAGAAGTTCAACTCGGGTCACCTTAATTTCCTCTCCCTTACCGCTCCATACACCCTTAAGTAAATCGCCCAAATTTTAACCCAAAAACGGTCAAAAACCAATTCTTTGGTCATATAAAATTTTTCATTCAAAAAGTGCAAAGTAGTCGCTATTAGAAGAGATACCCTTAATCCAGCAACATGAACAATCAGCAGATGGACCCTTAACGCTAACCCCTATCACGTGAAAGGTTTAATCTGAGCGCGGCAAAAAGCGATTAGCGAAAGAATCGAAAAATAAGCAAAATTATTGATCAGCAAAATTCACGTTCTGCAAAATTTCAAATTTACAGTCTCCGGTTTTTCGTAATGAATTCGTTTACTAAGTTTACGGGCATTGAATTTACAGCGACGTGAAATTTTGATGATCTCCGGGTTGAACGGAAAACTTTCTAATGAAGCTTTCCGGAATTTCAGGAAAATAAGGGCTCCATCAATAATAAGGCCTATTTTCGAGCAGCAATATCTTATGCATCCTCCTTAAAATTTTCTCTTTTTCCGATCAAAATGAAGCTGAAATATTGAACTAAAGAGCTATCAGACCAATTTTTGTCCGCCCCGCGCGAATGGGTTAAAAATTGCTTGTAAAAATAACGAAATTTCAGGTTGCAAAACTCTCCGTCCTCGTCCCACCAAAGACCGTCGACATCTCCCCGTCTCTGGCGAATTCGAAAGCATCAAAACCGGCAACGTCGAAATGATCAAAGTCGTCGAAGGTCGACCAACGAAAGTCCGCTGCATCGCCACTGATTCAAAGCCGCAAACGAACCTCCAATGGACTCTTGGAGGTAAGACCAGATTTTCTCCACTTTTAAATAAGTTTTAACTTTTGCTTTCGACCGCGGCAAAAAACCTCGGCCCCCCCAATTTGATTCCGGAAATCCAATTTTCTTAAAAATGACAATTTGCTAAATGGAACTCGATACCCTTAAATAATCAACTCAAATCAGGAATAAGATTTTCGCGAATTGTTTTATTTCAAACAATTTCTGTTGTTTCTCAAATTTAAGGGTGTACACCTGGGCCCGCGCCAAATCTAGCTGTCAAATCGTATTAAAAAAATGCGATTGTTTGAGCACTGTTTATTTTATTTTTTAATTAGGAGCTCTTAATCGACCATATTTTTCTTTTGATCTTAATTTTTTTGGCAAAAAACACAAGATTCTTCATTTCAGTTGAACGGTGAAAAAAGGCCTTTTGCGGTGCCTAATTGGCCACAAAAGTATTCGACAGGTGATCGAGCTCCCTGGCTCACCCCTCGGGGCCTCTCGGCCTCTCTATAAATATAAATTAATTAAAAGGGGTCGGGTGTCTAATTGAACTCTTGACTGATTGATGCATTATTCAAGCTAGATATACTCAGCTTCAATACAGTAAGAAATCATAATAGAAAAGCTGTTTGCTTTCCCCACTGGCCCTTGCTGGATGAAATCAGATTAAGGCCTTCTCTTCTCTAAAAACCCAATTTTCAGATGACGAAGTAGAATCAACAGCTTCCGTTTCCGGCGATTTGCTGCTCACCACCTTTTCCGAAGTGACCATCGTCCCGAGCAAGAGCGATAATGGCAAGCAATTGAGCTGTCTTGCTGAGAATCCGGCACTTGGCGCCACGCCTACTCGTGTTCTTGTTCAGCTTGATGTACAAAGTAAGTAGCAGCCCTCTCTCCAACCAAGTTGGAGCTCATTCTTTTAGAATATTCTTACGTGGTAGTACTAGAATATGTTAAATAAGGGTGTCACCGTCTTACTCGCTTTTAAATAGAACTTCTGAAAACCCCCTGTACCCCCTTAAAATGGAAGGTGTCTGGAACCGACAAAAAAATTTCGACAAATTTTACGTGGAAATTTTCAACCAATCAGAAGCCTGAATTCGGCAAACCAGCCGAGTAGCCGCCCATGCAAAATTTTTTGTCGAAATTTTTTTGTAGGTATCCCCTTAAAATTCCCCTTTTGGCGCATTCTTCATTTTGCTCCCAAGTCGTTTCTAAAGCACTAGAAATGCCCCTGTCTCCGGTCGTTTTTCGCACAGAGCTCCGAAAAGAGATTTGAAGCTCAATAAGCTGCTTCCCCCTAAGTCGAGGGCTCGCGAGTTATTTACGATATTCACGAGCGTGGCCCGTTAGTGGAACTGCTTTTGTGAGATAGTGTCTGCGATCTGTCAGTCCTCTGATTATCAAAAAGGTCGCACCTTGGAAATCATCAACAGATTTTTTTTTCGAAACTTCCAAACAGACATTTTCTCGCACGTTTTTTCCTAATCGCCGTGAATTGAATTTTTAGACGCGCGAAAAAGTCTAAAGTTTAACCTTTTCGACGCGAAATACAGTATTTTGGCTTTCTTTTGAGGATGAATTGGGGTACAAAATTGCGCAAGCTAAAAACCGCCGGTAGAAAGGTAAAAAGGCGGAAGTATATTAAAAAGGCGGAAGTATCGGATAACGCCGGTTTGGCCGAGAAATAAATTTTTATTCATAAGAAGAGAGTTAGAGGACCAGTTCTAACGATTATTGCTAAGACGGCGGTAGAATTAATGTATCAAATGATTGAGCAGAGTATTACCGTATCCCCTCACTTTTGAAACTAGGACATCATATGACTCACTTGAGTCATCATATGACTCATCAATATGACTCATCAAAATTTGACTCATTTATTTTTGACTCATCATATGACTCATTTTGAAAATATGACTTCATCAGTGATGAATCATCACTCCTAAAATGAGCCAAAAAACTAACCCTCTTTCTTTCCTAGCTCTGCCAGAGGTCACGGTCGTTCTTCCAGATGAGCCTGTACCTGAAGGATCTTCCCTCACCGTCCAATGCCTTAGCGAAAGCAACCCACCCGCCACATCATTTTCCTGGTCTCTAGATGGAGTCGTATTGGATTCCGACGACTCCGTGGCCAGTTTGACAATTCCAAATGTGGACTGGTCGTTTCACACGCGAAGAATTGAGTGCACAGCCAGAAATGCCATTGGATCTGGATCTACTGCTGCAAGCATCAGCGTTTTATGTAAGTACAGAAGCTAAAACAGCCACTTTTCGGGACAAACCAAGAAAAGGAAGTAATTTTTGAATAGCCAATAAGATTGCTGTATTTGGCCTACCGGCCAATCAAAACTCAGGTCCGGAAAATCACTTCCTTTTCTTGGTTCTGCCCCATTTTTCTTTCTATTTTGGGTTCTTTTTCTTTTAAACTTTTTTCTAAAAATGGTCATCTTAAAATATAAAAATAGAACTGCACCGTATTTTTCGTAATTTTTCTTTGAAAAAGGCGGCTTCTTTCTTTTAACCGTGGATTATTATGTATTCACTTTTTCCCAAAATTTGAGCTGATGTACTTATTGCCCCACGCACAGGTGTGTTTCCTGTCACGTTTCCGCCGACTTTCCACAGCTGGAAACATCTCAGGGAAACTCCCTTAACCCGTTCGACCGCAGAATTGGAAAATGTACATTTTCGAAACCGCGCGTGTGAAATTTGCCTTTTCGCACTCCAGAACACAAGTTTTCGGGTTAACTTTCTTCTTTGATCACATGGCTTAAGGGTGGCTCTCTCTAAACTAATAACAGTTACAGTAATTAAAATTGAGAGAAAGTCGTTCGTTTGGTTGAAAATTTGACATCGCATGTGCCATGGGAAGATGTTTTCCAATGTAATTTGTTGACGAATCAACGTTAATTTTAATCTGGCGCGGCGGAACTCTTTCAAGTGGCGCTAGAATTTTCCCTACGTCGAGGGAGGATGCGATTTGTAAATTATTGTAGAACATGAAGTTATTTTTCCTCGAAAAATAACTCGGTTTTTCGACCCCCACTCCCTTATTTCTTACAACAGAAAAGGTGTGACATTCTTTCCCAGAGATTAAGGTGCTACCCCACCCTCTTTTATGACCATAATTACATAAAAAGAGCCCTTTGTCGAGCTCTGCCCTTTGAAAACCTGGGCCGACAATAAAAGGGATGATCAGGTGATACAACAACAAAATATAGAATTCGTTGTTTGTAGTAAACAGCGCTTAGCTACGCTTGGCGCATTTTGTCAATCGTAGCGTTGTGTATTGAGGAGCTTAGACGAACAAGGGAGGATTACTCGGTCGCCGATTTGGGCGAATAATAGCACTTTTTGCTGTGAAAAGAGGGCTTTGATTTGCGATCACGGATTTAGCCTGAAATAACAAGATATTCCACTACTATCACCTGTTGTTTGAAAAAGACCCTTTCTTATGGATTTCTTAAGGGTATCCCCTCTCTTATATTGCATTTTCAGTCGCTCCCGTGATCGTCGGAGAACCCCTCCGGCGAACAATCGCTGATCAGCCCGGCCGTTCTGTCGAAATCGAATGTCCGATTTCCGCCAATCCGGAGCCCGAATACACCTGGATCAAGGATGACGTCACCGTGCACACAACCAGCTCTAGAATTCTCAGCATCGAGCGTGTCAACTCCAAGCACGCCGGCAACTACCGCTGCATCGCTGAAAGCCCCCTTGGAAACGCCGAAGCAACAGTTCAAGTTGCGATTAAGGGGCCACCGAGCATTCTTTCTGGAAAAGAGCAATTTGGCATGGAGCTTGAATGCGCGTTCGTTTCAGAGCCGAAGCCGAACCACGTCAGAATCGTTGACCTTGGCAAAGCGGAGGATGAAGGGATCATCCACGAACTCTTCGGAGACGCTGTTCAAAACGTGAAGATTAATGTCGGCATCGGCCAATTTGAGTGCTTGGTCGAGAACGAGCTTGGAACTTCCACCAGCATCATCAGACTCCAGCCTGAAGGTAACCCCGGTCCCCCATTTTAGATTGAGCTTTTAAAATAACTTTCTGACCCTAACTCTTCCTCTAATAACTTTTGGCTCGAAAAAAATGGTCTGGCCGTCACGTGGCTGTAGGATTTTTGCGGAAGCTCTGCGGTTTCCCGCAGTGCCCATTTAAGCACATTTCAGAATACTCAAAATGGTTAAATTCAACCGCTCTATCGACCCCTAATTTAACAGATTCTTATCCAGGTTTTTACAGATAGAGCTCAATTTAAGACCACCCCAATAAAGATCAGCGAGTTTCGACTCAAAAGTAGATTGATCATTTTTGTGTCGAATAGTCGCCTGGTTCAAGAGGTGAATTTTCGACTCAAAACTTCCTTCTTTATTTTTAATTTTTGAGTCGAAAATTCGTTTTGCTCATTTTTGGGGTGGTCTTAAAATGAGCCCTTTCTGTAACACGTGGATAAGTAACACAAAAAAAGTTCGTAAACTATGAGACAAGAGCTCTTTTGTCGGAGATTCCAGCCCATCGGCAGTGGAATGGCCAATTCAGAGCCGCATTTTTGACCAAGTGCTTGTCCAAATAAAGCTTCTTTCTTGGAAACTTTTTAGAGGGAGGACTACCCTTATCGTTCTTTAGAGCGTTTTCGGGTTTCAGAAAAAGTTCATCGTTTTTGTAATTGTAATGTAGGGTGTTTAGAGTTTTGTGAATTGCCACGAGGGAGATGGAAAATAGTGATAAGGGCACAGCGGGGGCTCGTTTGAGTACACGCGCTCTTGATTATGAAGAGCAGGGAGCTCTAACACAAAACCACGAGGATACCCTTAAAAAGGCATAATAGAAAGATACTCTTTTATTGCCCCTAGTTCATCAAAATTGAATTGTACAAGGTATACCCTTAAGATTTTCAATGAAATAGAGCGAAAGTTATTTTAACGAAGGGATACCCTTAAGATTTTTTGATGAATAAGGCGCTCTAAGAAGCGCTAGAATGATTTTTCTTCGATCAAAAGCTGTAAAAACAAGTTGAGCGCCAGTAAATCTCGTTAAAATTTACAGGGGATTACGTAAGCCCGATTATGACACTAGAAAAAATGATCCGACGGGATGAGGATAATTGCGAAAAATGGACGAATATTTTGACGCTGGGGGAAAAAGTTCTAAACCTTCCACGACGATCCAATTAGCGCTTGGCTCCTTTTTTCCTCGCTGGAGCGCCACATGAAAGGGAGAGCCTTAAGGTCACAGCGCTAGAAAAAACACGCAGAAAGAGTTAATTAAGACCAACGGAGTAGTTCCTTATCGCTCTAACTGTAATTCGATTAGGCGTTTTAGTTACTTTTACTTTAGTTTCGAGTCTAAAACCGTTCGAGTCAAAATACTGATTACAACTAAAATTTTTCGACGATAAAATTGAACTTTTTTGTTAATTATGATATTTAAGGTATTACCGCGCAGGCGAAATTTGGCATCGTCTTTGGCATTTTGGGATTCGGGCTGATTTTCTGCCTCGCTCTCTGCGTCAAACTCAGATGGTTCCCACGTGAGCAGCAGCTCAAGATCAACCTCAACGTAAGTTTCACTTTTTGATGATTCATTTGGCTTATGACTCATTAGCTCATAACTGATGAGTCATAACTTATGACTCATAAGTAATGTTTCTATGAGTCATATGAGTCATACAAGATGACTCATATGATGTGACTCATACTATCCGATTTTTAAAATGAGTCATATTTTATGACTCATAATTATTCATTGATCCAATTAAATAAGTCATATAAATTATATGATATAATATGACTCTTCTTTCTTTCCAAACCCTAACCCAAACTCCCAGGACAACGATTTCGACTCCCGCTCCGAGCGCCAGTTCAACTACGACCCCGTCCGCGGCTACAACCCATCATTGAGTTCCGCTCAAGTCCGCTCCGCTCAGAACCCGCTCAAAATCCACTCGAGCTCGGACGAAGTTTTCTTGGCCGACGAAACTCAATCCTCCCGCCACGGTAAGATTTCAGAAAAATCAGAAAAACAGGAAAACCATTTTTTGGCTTTTTCTGACTTTACATAACTAAAAGTCGGATGAGCGAATTAGCCGCACCTGTTGCCGCGAGTCGCTCTCGCCTCAGCCCATTTAGACCATCTGCGCCACACGTTTTTGAACAGATTCACAAATCCAAAATTATAATATTTGGATTTGCACGTAACGCGCTTTTCTAAAAACGCCTTCAAGCCAACATCCAATAAGCAAATAATTCTAGTGCGACTTGGAAACAGCCTCGGAATAAACGCAGACACAGCTTCGACCGAAAGATCTCATCATGATGATGGCTATGGAACGGAATCTGGATCTAATCAAAAAGTTAATACTGTAAGTAAAAAAAAACTGATTTTCAAGGTCATGTGACCTCAAATGATCTTATTTTGAAAGGTCATTTGAGGTCACATTTCCAACACAAATGGAAGTTTGAGGTCAGGTGACCTCAAATGACCTGAATTCTTTGAATTTTTTGTTTCAAAAAGGTCATTTGGGGTCAAAATGCCCCGGAATTTAATATTCGAGGTCACGTGAGCTCAAATGACCCTGTTTGTCTTAACTCATTGTAGAGGTCATTTGAGGTCACGTGATTGCTTAAATTGTTTTTGAACTTCGAGGTCATATCCTCTAAAAATCGACCTCTCCGGTCATGTGACCTCAATTAACCAACATTTTTCTTCCCCTTGTAACCTCACTATTTCAGATGTCCGACGCGTCCGAGTCGAACTCCGACTACGAAGTCCACGTCGCCTCCCTCTCCAGCGCCGCCGGAGCAGTTCCCAACTCCGACAAGAGCTCGAAAATCTGCGTGATCTGGGACGACTCGACCGGTTCTTACAACCCGAGCCAAATCCGTGCTCATACGGCGGCTCTGCAAAGCAAAATGAACCGCGCCAGATCTGTTTCTCATGTCTAAATTGTTTCTTTCTTTTTTCAGCCACTGTAAAAAAAATTTCACTGTAAAAAAAAAGAATTATTTAAAACGAAATTTGAAAACAAAGAAGTCTTACGAAGAAGAAGATACCTCAATAAAGAGCTTCTGTAACTTACTGTACATTCAATTTTATTTTTAAAAAGTCGAGTTTGTTTAATTTTAAAAACTGCCGAAAGAAAAAATGAATAAATTTCGACTCAAAATTACAAAAAATAATCTTTGTCTTTCTCTTTTTCTTGTTTCCAGGAGTGCTAGAATTACAGTTAGGTTAATTAAGATGAGCAAAATCGTCCTAAGTCATGTTTTTCGGGCTTATTCGGTTGGCCAGTTTTCGTATTCTGGGTGAGACAGTACACATGTAGGTCAGGCTCGTTTCTCACCTTAGTTCGTGTTTTTCGGAATCACAAATTTTCAACTAGTGTTTCACATAATCAGATTTATTACTTCTTTCGTAACATTCGCAGAAAAGTATTCAACAAGGCGGAGTCATCTTTATCGATAGTAAAGGAAGAAGACGAATTGTCAATTTTATTCAAGAAAGTTAATAGACTAACCAGGGAAATGTTGAAGAAATGGTTAAACATACATGTTATTTAAAATTTCGCGTCATTTTATAAAATCAAAAAGTAAAATTTCTAATTTTCGTTTGTGTAGCAGTGCTTTTTAAGCTCTCGTTCCACCATACTATTATGATTCATTTTAGTTTCATAAAAGATGAAAAAGTTTCATTTCGAATGAACTGGAATTCTGGCTGTCAGCTCTCTTTATGTCCCCTCAAGCTGCTGTTTTTTATCGATAAGGCCGCCCTGGGAGGCGCCTTAGGTACCTTAGATTTGCCGTAAACCGAGATTTTACAGTTACGTTTTTCGCACAGTGCCTATCGGAAGAGCGCCCGGCTCTCGGCCCTAGTGTAATCAGTCTCGTTCAAATAATCATTACAGGTGAATTCGCTCAACGCGCAAAAATACCCTCCTTGAAAATTTCAACGTGAGTAGAAAGGATTTTTAAAAAATCGCGACTGAGCGATTTTCTTATCAAAGGAATTAGGGATTATTTGAAGTGGAATTGCTGAGATTCACGTTTCAAAAAATAATATCATAAAATAATAGATTCAAGACAAGAAGAAAATAATCGTTTGTTTTGAAAAGAATGGATTAATCTCAGAGCGAAGGTTCCATCTTTTGAAATTATCGACCGTCACGCTCTATTTTTTCGAGATGTTGATCGATAGATGGCGCTTTATGAATCCTTATAAAACGGAAAACGGCGATTTTTAAGTACCAAACTGAATCAAGATTATCTCGAATTTCTATGATTTCTTCTAGCAAAATAGAATCGATAGATTTTTGTTCAGTTTCTCAAATTATTCAGATGATTTGTAAAAATTTAGTGAGAATAAAATGAAACTTTCTGCTTTATATTTCTTGACTGTCTAAGACAATTTACACCTGAATAAATGCGAAATAAAAATATTGAAAAACTTCAATTGTTCCAATTTTTTAGATTTTTACGAAAAAAATATCGTTAATTAATCTCTCGTAAAATGTTCCGATTTCAGCCCAAATAAAAAAACGAACAAGTGTGTCAATCAACCGACTCAATCAATCTTAGGCAGGCTCTTATCTTTAAAAATTATCAACTTCCATATTTTCCAGCAAGGCGTTCCCCAGATGTGCTCGTCTAGATGGCGCATTTTTTCTTGATAAAAAGTCGAAATCCAGATTTCAAGCACACCAATAAAATGAACACAAGAGAACTGACATTGACTCCGGCAATAAGTGCGCTAAAATGAATCATTAGGTTTATTACTCCATTTTTCCATGCGCTGAAAAATACGAAGAAAAGTTACAAAATGAACGCATTTTCTGATGAGCTATATCGATATTGCATCAATCGCTGTTGTTTTTTATTTGAAATTTTAAAATGAATCAACCTGATTACTATGCCATAAGTACCTGAGCTTCTAATGCTCTTATAATAGAAAATATTTTAGAAATTTTTATGTTTTCCTGAAAAATAAACTGATTTTAATTTGTCTAGCTGGTGAAGAAAACCTGGGTCAGGACCTAGAAGATCTTTTCTGAACAGCGGATGGATCAATCTCTGAAAATTTTCAGAGATGGTAGTATGACCTCAAAATTCGGCCAAGTATAATTTGATTTTTATATTTTTCCTAACCCTACTCCAAACCTGGGGGCTTCGCCCCCGGGACCCCCCGTGGGTAAAAGTACGCAGTTCCTAACCCTAAGACCTAACCTAGGGGGCTCCCCCCCTTGGAACCCCCCTAACACTAACCTCAAATTAGGGTGGCCGAATTTTGAGACCATTCTACGTGAAAATTTAATCTTCTCAAGTCATCTACCGTCATGCTCCAGTTCTAGATCTAATCAGCAGATGGCGCCCATTTTCGGTTGTAAATACGGACTCTTCAAAATTTCAGCAAGTAAATAAAATGAAAACTGATTCATCTGAAAGAAGTGATGCAGCGCAAGCATTAATTTTTTCCAATTTTTAAAGTGAAGCAAAATGCCTGTTATGCAATGTCTCCAGCTTTTGATAGAAAAAAACGATAAGAAGATTCATCTGGCTATATTTTTGTATAAATTATTTTTTCTTTTATTTCATTTCTGAAATGCAGCAAAATTTTTAGGTTCTCAATGCATTTTCCCTTCAAGAATCCCTTGCAAAATAGAAAAATAAAAGAAATAAGAACTTTTAGCGAAAACTTCTGTCTTATTAAAAATCGTAAAAATGCAAAAACGATGGACACGTGGGTGACCAAGACGGCGGTCAGACGGTCCTCCTCGCGATCTGTGATTTCGTGATTTTGCATTCTTCACGTTTGTAACTCGAACTCCTCCCTTTCTCTTTTTCTGTCTTCGAAAATCGACAAAGCACCGCTACCTCGATTACAACTCGCCCGGCATTTGGAGAGATCTTGCGGTGGAATTTCTTTTTGTAAAAAATACCGAGCTTTTTCGACTCAAAAATTAGAACTTTGGGAAAAAAGAAAAGTTCTCAAAGTTCATTTTTGAGTCGAAAAATTGAAAATTTTGAGTCGAAAATGTATTTTTTGCAGAATCAAATTTTCGTTGAAAAAAGTTGAAGACGAATAAATTTGAATTTATTAGTCATTTTTACGTTTTCGAAAATTTTACGAAAAGGGTTGAATAAAGATGGGCGAAAACGTAAGCGGCCTTGCGGTTTAATAATGGACACTTGGGACGATAATGAAGGTACTCGGCCGCACGGGAATGGCTATTCATGGAACAGCTTCAGAAAAATTTCGATTCTAGGGATCGCCGAAATTCTGGCGCTTTTCGAGGTCTATCCCCTTAAATTTTGAATCGAAAAATTGAGTTTTATCAGGCTTTCAACTTCATTAGAAATCTGGGCAGTCTGCGAGACACTCGAAAAAGTAGCTCTCAGCGCTGAAGTCATTTTTTCCTGAAATCATTTTTTCGAGCCGAAGGGAGAGTATAAAAACTCGCTGCGTCGCCACGTGAAGCTCATTTTTCAAAAAATCACCAACCAGTGACGAGAAGACGAAGAAGGAAAAAATGGCTTCGAAGAAACAAAAGTCGGAGAAAGCTCAAGAATTTCGGGACAAAAGCGAAAGTCGGAGGAAGAGAAGGAGCGAGAGTTCGTCGCCGAAATGCGAAAAGAGGACGAGAAATTGCAGAAGAAGCTGGCTAAATTGAACGAATCCATGGTAAAACATCAATGTAAGTTTTAAACTTTAATTCAAAAAGGGATGTTTCGCGTTTTTTAGTGGAAAACAGCGAAACTGTCCAAGAATTGCTGGAAAGACAAGTCAAAGTTCTCCGAGAAGAAAATAAGGCTCGGCTCGAAAACCTGTGCCAAAACCTGAGTCAGGTGCCGGCCCTCCCCTGACTCAGGTTTTTAACGCAGCTTTTCGAGCCGAAAAACAAGGGGCTTCGACAAAGCAACAAGTCTCTTCGAAAAAATGTCGATTTCTTGGAGGAAAAGTTGAAGAAAGCCAAGCCCGGTAAGCGTTTTATAGTTTAGCGACCCAATTTTGAACCTCTTTTTCTAGTGCCAACAGCGCATTTCACGATCGACCCGGACTACTTCTCCGACGAAAACGTGGATACTCACCGACCCGAGAACCCGAAGCGCATCTTTCCCGAAAAGTGCTTCAATTGCTACCAAGACTTGCCCGATCTGGTAAGAAAGGGTTGACGAAAATGCTCAAAAGCTAAAAAAATACTTTCAGATCACCGATCGATCGTACGCGATCATCGCCGACCCGCACGGCTGGGACTTGAACACTCGACTTCGCAAGAACCAGATGGCACATTTGGCGAACACAGAATTTTAGGGAAAACTGTTTTTCTCGTACTGTAGTGACGGAAATAAAACTTATCGCTACACTGATCTTTTCCGACATATTTTAGCAGAAATTCGCATTTGGATGAAAAAAGCTTTCTTTTTGACAAAATAAGGTCGTTTTGCCTATTTAGTGGTCTTAGGGTGGTCTTAAAATGTATGAGATCTGTTAAACTCACGAAAAAATGGGAAAAAGCTTGCAACGTCCGGGAATCGAACCCGGGCCTCCCGCGTGGCAGGCGAGAATTCTACCACTGAACCAACGTTGCTTGATGAACGGCTCTAATTAGCCACTACAGATTAAATAAACCCTCATCCCCTGTCAGAAGGAATCAGTACTGCTTATTTGAGCACGCCCCTCAGGCAACGTTGGTTCAGTGGTAGAATTCTCGCCTGCCACGCGGGAGGCCCGGGTTCGATTCCCGGACGTTGCAATCTTTTACCGATTTTTGATGAGAATTCGGTATTTTAAGACCACCCTCTGGGACCTAAGTTTTCTAGCTATGACTCTGATACACTAATCCGCAGCGGCCATCAAAGCGTTCGTAAAAGAGCTTCTTTATTTTGGCAACTGATCCTTACAAGTCTTTCAACACCCACTGATCCATGTTTCTTGGGGTCAGCAGTTGGCTACTTCCCAACAAGCGCCTCCTCCACGCGGTTAATCGGCTAAACATGCGCCTAATTGGTGACACCCGCTACACCGCCAAAGTCAGCCCTTTTGAATCGCGCGCCAAAAATGACCGAAGCGCTAATTGACGCGCACGCCCCGGCGCGAATTGCATTTCCGCGATTTTTCTTTTAGATTTTCAGAAAAAAAATGTCCGGTAAATTAATAAAAATACCTAAAATTATTCAAAAACTGCGGGAAATTCAAAAATATTTTTTTGGCGCGAAATTCAAAAAAAAAAATAATTTAATTGATTTTAACAAAAAAATATCAAAAGTAAATTTCGTTTCATAAAAAAAAACGATTGTGTCATGCTCTTCACCCCGAGTCTGACCCACCTGTTATCAAAAAACATAAGCTGGGTGTACCATAAACGAAAAATATGAGAGATTTTGCCCGGCAATTTGATTTCTAAACAGCCTTTTTCTCAGCGCTCTGAAGATATATTTCTCAATTCATAAATACTGGACAAAGATTACATCACTAAAACTAAAACAGGGAGTGATAAGAAAGCCAAAAACAGGAGGTGATAAGATCTCGCTCCGAAAAGTCGGATGATCCTGAATCTTTTTGCACAAAAAGATGCTGAATTTGACCGAAAAGTGACGGTTTCTAGGGCTTTCAGAATAATGCAAATGCCGATCAAAGTATTCGTAACAAAAAACACGATGTTACAAGTCCAATTGTGCGCGTTTCTAGTTTATGCAAAGTCGAGAGTTTTTTCGTTCTTTTTTTGGATTTGTGAAACAACGCTTGTTCGCGTCAATAATGTTTCAGGTGCTTGATCCTGCCGAAATGAAAGTTATTTTCACAACACGAGGATGACGCGTGAAAACTTATCAAAAATTCACCCCTGTGAGTTGCGTTACTGTCCAAAGGATGCTTACGAGGGACTTTATTTATCGAAAATTTGAGCAGAAATTTGAAATTCATATGAGAAAATTTTTAAGGAGAGAAATGATTTTTTTCAGATGTTGAATTTCTTCATCTTCGCATAAGATCCTGTTCAGAGTTATCTTATAACGTAAAGAATGGTTCAAGAAAAGGTCTGACTCTGTGCCTGTTGATCCTTGGTGAGCGTAGCAGCGAACTCCTTGTTCTTTTCCTTGAGTTCCTGGAGCTTTGCTTTTTGTTCAGCACTGAGGGAGTCAATGAAGTCGCGAGGTAACTCATCGTATCCGTAAGCATATCCATCATTTTCGTCTTTCCAATGAAACGGATTGGTGATGCAGTCGTCTTGGTCGTTTTGTCCCATTTTAAAAATCAATTCTTTTTTTTCTCAGTCTGATGAAGAGATCTCTTGACGGCTGCTTTTAAGCGAACTAAAGTGGGAGTTAATTTCCGGTCTAAGCGCTTCTACCTTCAAAGCGAGATGAAAAAATAGACAGTAAGCGGACCACTCAAATTGTTGGGATAGAAATTTAGACCGGAAAGAAACTCCGCTTCTAGCTAGCAACCCTAACCCTAACCGTAATAGAGATTCGCTCAGCAAACTGAGAAAAAATATTCAATTTTAAAATGTGACAAAACGACCAAAACGATTGGTATGGCCACTGGCTTTCTTGGGATGAAAACGGGATGAACGAAAGCGCGACTTCATCGATTAAGAATGATGACATTCGAGGAACATCAACACGAATAAGCATCACAAAAAATCTTTTCTCTTTGAAATTTTTGCTCAAATTTACAAGAAATAAAGTCTGCCGTAATCATTTCTATTTTCAAAAAAAATGATCAGCCCGGAAAGAATGCAAAACCAAAAATCCTCTTTTCAAAATCGCCGATTTTTTCTTGGAAGATCTGTGTTTTCGATCAGATTCGTTGTCTCAGAAGTCCAGGACCGCAACAGTAACGCAACTCACCGGTAGACAAACAGAAGCTCCAGCCGCCAAAGGGAAATATTGACTCGGAAGTTGAAGACCTCAGCCGGACAACAGTTCAAAAAGATAGACTCGTCAGAAAGACAAAAAATGATCAAAACAGACTGCTTCAAAATAAGATACTTTTTATTGTTAATTTTGATTTGACGCGGGCGATTTCGAATTTTTCGCAAAGAAAATCTTTCGCGAGCGAAAATCACGTGGTCATGGAGCATCACACGTTTGTTAATGGTGGCATTTAGTCGCTGTTGAAACTCGCGAGAAAAATCTCCCAACTGCTCGTTAGAAACTGGCCTCCTTCCGCTAATGAGAGCGTCAGGCGATTCTCAGCTCTTTAAATTTAGAAAGTGATTCTCCCTCGCTTTTTTAAAAAGCCGGTAAGATTCTCATCGTTTTGTAATTTTTCGGCTTTGATGATGAAAAAAAGGGCTTCAAGAGATGATGTGAGCGTTTTTTTTAGATTGACCTTTTGGCTCATTAGAAAGCGGAATTGAAGCAGAATGAATGGAATATTTTGAAAAATACTTTCGTCGCTACTGGCACTCGATGCTCTCGGAAGATGCTCATCCCCTGAAAAACGCTCCAGGAATTTTTATCTTCCCGGATTTTTTCTTCCGAAATACCTTCTTTTTTTCTTTCCTTTTGACCTTTGATCTTTCAGTTGAGATTCTAGCGGGTTTTCCTGTTTTTAGATACAGTATTTTTGTTTGTAGATAACGTGAGAAAGTGGCTGATCAAAAGAGAGATTCGACCGGGCGTTTCATTTTACTAAATCAAGTAAACGACCGCGGCTTATTGGATTCTGACGCGTTTTTTGTATTAAACCCAAACTCTATATTTTCTCTTCTCACGTGTCTAATTTCCTCTTTTTTCAACTACAGTATCTAATAATTTTTTATAAAGAAAAGTTCGATTTTCCGCTGAGCGGCGCTGTTTTCGATTTTTCTTGCTTCTGATTGGCTAAAACGAAAGATCTCTATATTTTCCGCTAAGTGGCGCTGTTTCCGGATTTTCTGGCTTCTGATTGGCCAGAAAAGAGCTATCAGAGGAAGCTTTTTAAAACCACATGTTTGTTTTATTTGTCTCTTTACAGTTGTGTTTACAGTAGGAGGACACTTTTCTGAATCGGAAAAAAGGAAGGAATCAGCTGGGCGCACTTATCCTCCATTTACGTCAGGGGCACTTGGCGGGGCACGTGCCAATCCGGCTCATGTTGACCGATAATGTCTCAACTTCGATCAAACAAAGCTGATATCGGCTCCATTTGCGAATATTCATATCGCGAATGGAACGTGCGGCGCATCAAAGTAACCAGTTTCAATCAATTTGACAATTTTTTACTTAAAATTTTTTTTTCTGAAATAAAAATTTTCTACAGCGGCTTCTTTCGATAACGAATAATTTCATCCGACGGCGTAAAATCTTAAAATTTTTTTTTAATAAAAAAGGTCTAAAAATAATGATCAAAAGCGGAATTCAACGGAACTGGCGAAAAACACAAAAAAAGCGTGTCAACACATTTTCGAAAATAAACCAATTTCTGCTTTCAATTTTACAAGCAATCTAACAGAACCCCCGTTCAATTGAAACGCGCTTGAAGTGGCCATTTGTCTTGTCAATTCTAGCGAATCTCTTCTTTTGATCGACTTGCGAGCTCTCGCTGAACAGAAATAAGCCGCCGAGATAAGGGCTCATTTCGAAGATTAGTACTTTTGATTTCTAAAGCGCGAAAATCACTTGAATTGGCGCCGGAAAAGTAAGTGATTTTGTAACATTTTCAATACGAAATCTTCTCTTTGAAATTGTTCCGGCCAATCAGAACCGAGTTAATACAAACAGCGCCACTCAGCGGAAAAAAATCATTCACAGTTTAGCTATTATTAGTAATCATTTATCACTGAAAATGAAACTAGGGATATAAGCTTCTCAGCCAATCAGAATTGAGAAAATTCAAACAGCGCCTTCTAGCGAGTAAATTTTATTGAATTCATTATATATGATTCGCAATAAAAAAAATTTGATAAATCATTGGAAAATCAAGTGTATCAGCCAATCAGATTACCGAAAATAAAAACAGCCCCACTTAGCGACAGAAATATTTTTTTTTTCTTTCGAAAGCCAGATCATAAAGAAAAAAAATTACAAAAACGTGTTCTTCCCCGAATCAACTAAAAAAGAACGGAAGGGAGCCATCTCGCCCGGACAAAGTGAAACTGTTATTAGAGGATCCACTCTCAAGTGTGCCCTCAACTGGACGTAACTATAAATACTCGCGGCTTGTTTCTTCCCAGAACGCTTTTTATCAAAAGCTAAGGAATAGAAACTAGAGGATTTGATAAGAGTGACAGTTTTTGCGTCAGCGCTGGCTAGCATTTCATGGAAATTGGGCGGCCGGTTTCAAACAATCTTGAATTATCGGACGTGTGCGGTTCTCCATCTCTTCAATTGAGGTCGCCGCGATTTTGACGAACCGGAAACTGGACTGAATGACTTTCGGCGGAAATTAAAACTTGCTCATGCAGATTTTCGAGTTCTTTCCTTCAAGTTACGGCAATTAACAGTAAAGGCTTTTATTGTAAAGAAAGAGATGTTTTTCAATAATTTATGTTACTCTTTTCAGAAGAAGCTTTTGTCGTTCGATCTCCTTCCTACAGCTTGCGATCTCTTGTTCATAGTCTTTGACTTTGATTTTTAATCCACCAATTTGTTCATCGTTTTCTTTTATTTTTGCATTTAGTTGGACTTGAATCTGAGCGAGATCAACCACAATATCGTCTGTTTGTCTTTTCATTTCAAGCATCGTCACCATTTGAGTTTTCTTCCAATTTTCAAGGTACGATATTTTTTCTTCCATTCGCTTTCTACTACTCTGCGATTCTCTCAATTCTGTTTTCATTCTGTATAGATCGGTTCGATTTTCGAAAATTATATCATGTAATGGCCTTGTATGCTCCTCTATCATTGCTTTGACATCAGCAGGCGATAATGACTCTTGAATTAACTTTTATACTCATTCAATCGTTCGATATCTTACGTCCCGGTATTCGAGGAGTATTTTCGCGAGTATAATCAACGGGACTCTCAGACGCTTCAGTCAATGAAAGACTTCTGTAATCTCCTATATAGGACTCGCTATAACAATGCGAGTCGCTACTTGATCTACGCGATATTTCTCTTTTCAAATTAGAGCGAGAAAAAGGCAGCAAGCGGAATCTTTATAGAAAATTACTATTTGCCTATTTCGTATCGTTATTTGCATTTTGCAAAAGGAAAGATTTACTGCTTCTTATATTCAAAAATGGAACGTGTGTTCATTTACCGCATTGTTGCTCTTCCGAAATATCTGCCAGATGTTTGCCATGTTAGTTTTTGCAAACCCTTACTTGCGGATATCGATAAAATAAACGCAACGGGGGAAATCAACTGACAGTACTTAGAACAAGCTCTTTCTCTTCAAAACCGAAAAATACATTTTCAAAAATACACGTTTTCGGAAAAAGAAAAATACGCGAGGCTAAACACGGTCTTGTCAAAATGATCGAAGCTGCATAAAATCTGCAATTCAAAAACAAGAAACTTAGAAAACTGTTTTTACCTCATCTTCTCCGAAAAAGACTTGTCAAGCAGAAAAGAAAGAAAAAAAAGCACTTGATTAGGAACATAAAAGCACCGGAAGAAAAGGGTCGTTTCTTTTTGGAATAATTGAGAATCATTCTAGTTAATTGAATACTAGAATCTGCGCTAGAATTATTCAACCAAGAAATTGTCAAGAAAAACGCGAAAATTTCAACGAATCAGAAGCCTGGATTCGGCAAACCGGCCAATTAGCAGCCGATTAGCTGCCCACGCGAGATTTGTCGCTTTTGACCAATCAAAACAGGGAAATCTTGACTAAGCAATCTTGGGCCACACTTTCGAAGTATTCTTCACAATCTTGGACAAAAAAAATGCCGGTTTTTAGTCAGAGATGTCGGAGTAAATCACAATTTTGGAGAAGTAAGCTTTTTGATTGAAGCAGATTTGTATCTGGAAGGAAAACACACATTCTATTCTTTTCTGCGTTTTGCATAAAGCACTTTCCCTGGCAGGAGATGGATTGCGATAAGATGACAATTGCACTTTATATTCAAAGTAGCTGCGGCTTCGAGCTTTCTTGGGCGCTAGAAAAGCCGCCTTCTGAATATTCATCGGCGGAAAAATTCCAATTAACGACTTTAAAATCTTTTTAGAGAAAGCTATAAAAGGTGTAAAATGATAAGCTCATTAAAAACGACCTTCTCAAAAGGCGCGATAAAAGTACAGTAACACTCAAAAAGTGCCATTTCACGCCGTTGATATATTGGCTTGACTGGCACGGTTCATTAATTTTTAGACATAAGTAGAAATTTCTGACTCAGCCGGAGAGCTACTTTGGGTTTGTTTGGAAAAATCTCTTCCTTGATTTCAAATTCTAAACGATAAGAGTTAGGCTTACACTATAGAGTCAGTTATTTTGTTGATTTGTCGTGACTTCAGCTTATTTATTTTTTTGTGCAAGAGTTTAGGTACAGTAAAATTCATCGACAGGGAATATGATCGGGCGATAAAATTTGCTTGAGTGGTTGTTGACGACTTTCGCCGAGGATATTTTTTCTCCGTCCCATTCAAGTTTCTCCACAGCGAAACTAAGTTCAATATTTTTGATTGATTCTTTCGAATAACTTACGGTTCTTTTTTGCCGCTCACAAGATAAATCGTATTTCCAATTCGTGTTGCAGAAGAGTACCAATGCTAAAATTCAAGCTCATTTCGCCTTGTTCAATAAAGACCTTACATATTCATTGAGCCGGCCAACCACGGTCCATCTTGAGTTGCGAAGTAAATAAACATCTTTTATACTGTAATATTTATTATTTTCTTGGTATGAACCTCCCAGAAGAAGATATCCGTCGAAGACTCCAATGCAGGAGTGAACCAAAATTGCCCTTCAAATCATCAAATAATAAATATAAAATCGATTTACTTTGGAAAATCTTCCATTTCCGTCCAAGAAGCGCCATCGAATTTCTCCACTTTTTTGTAGCCGTCAGAAAGTTCGGAGCTGACTGCAACTGGTTGGTTTTTGTAGAGCGCCAAGCATGAATCTCTATGCGAGTATTTCGTCGCCGGTTTTATTGAAACAGCACTTCCATCAAATTCTTCGCATTTTTTGAAATTTTCATCATCCGGAAAGCAAATCAACGCTAAAATAAATAAACAACTGAAGCCTTTTCAATCGCAACAAAGTCTTTACCTGATTGTTGATCAGCCGCCGTAACTACAGAAGAGCCGAAGTAATAATTATTGTTTAATTTGACATCTAACTCCTTGATTCCACACCAACTTATCATTCTTATCTAAGTTAATAAGCTATGATTTAGTTTTAGTTGCGTTCTTACCCTCAGTCCATAGTCTATGTTACTTCCTTCACCAAAAATGTAGATTTTTCCACGAATCAAAGCAGAAATTGATGCGAAAAGGTAATGATCTCCATTTTTAGACGAAGGAATCTTGATTGTCCGAGGACTCTCGCTTCCGTCAGGTTTGAGAACGTAGCTGAGAAACTCTGTTTGAGACTTATAGCCAGAAAGAACCATCAACGAATTCTTCTCCCGTCCGAAGCACTTTTCGTTTTCGAACTTGAGTTTCTCCAAATCTCTTTCATTATTTGACATTCGCGTCTCTATTGCTTCTTTTTCATCTTCAGTTCGCTCGAGATCAATCGTCAAAGCCTTGTCATTTTAATAAAATAAGCATCAATTAAAAAACCATTAAAATACCTGAGTAGTCTGTAAGCATTGCTCTTTTTCTTCCTGAATTTCATTTCTACAATTTTCGATTTCGCTTTGAAGGTCAGAATTTCTAAGTATCGCAGTCTTTAAAAAAGCAAACAAGGATTTTTCGTTACTTGACTCTTTCAATGTCCAAATATTCTTGAATCTCGCTTTTTTCCATTTTTGTTTCATCCAAATCTTCCTTGATTTCAGCCAAGGCAGTCTGCACCTCCTCTGTATCTGTTTTTGATGTTTTTAGTTCTTCATTGGCAGCGATCAAATTTGCATTCTCAGTTTGAAGCCTGTTCATTTCCGCATCTAGATTTTATTACACCAGATGAAAGATTCTCTCCAAAATTACCTTTTTCTTGAAGTTTTCTCCACAAATTGTTATTTCTCGTTTTTAGTCTGAGTCAGAAATTCATCGTCAAAATTTTCACGAGTAAAATTACCGTTTTTCCTCGCTTGAAAGTCTCTCATTCTCAATTTCCATGCTTGATAGGTTTTCAGAGAGACTTTTTGACTTTTGATTGAGAATTTCAATTTCGTCTTTCAACTTCTGGTTTTCGCTTTCAAGGCCATTCGCATGCTCCTGTAGATCGTCGACCATGATACTTTTTTAAGTCAAGAAAAGCAATATTTAGCCATAACAAAACCATTTTTTCTGAACCTTTCCGATATTGCTCGAGATCAAGGACCGTTCTCTCCGTACAACGATTTCGAGACTCGTCGTTTTGCCAGCAGGGACATGTTTCCAGCTCACGCCGAAATTGATTCTGGCATTCATCGACGCAATCAACGAAGATGCATTCTCCTAGGCAGCGCTTGAATTCTTCCTCGGCCGCTTTTTTGCATTTCGCGGCCCTGTTTCTGGCAACTTTTGCCGGCCCTTTGCTGCTTTTGCAAAAAGCTGGGCATGAAAATTCGAGGCTGCATATCTTTTTTTAGGGTTTACGAATAAAAATGAGCGATCTAATATTGAAAAAAAGAAAAAAAGAAGAAACCCGCGCATTTGCCGCTGAAATCAGCTTCGTAAAGAGTAAAAGAAAATAGATCATTTCTCTTTTGTTAATACTCTGGCTCTCGCTGGTGACTCTATAAAAATAGTGAGTCACCTTCTGAGTAAATTTAATTGGAGTCTCAACTAGCGGGATTTCCCTGATAATGCACTATTTTTTTTAAAGTCCGCTTGAAAATTATCAAAAGGAGTTAAAGCGTTTATTATGATTTACAATTTCTCGGAGTACAGTAACAAATCGACGTCTTTCGCAAATCGATGTTTGAATTGGCGCAAATGCTGCGGGCGGGCTTAGGAGGAGATCAAATTCTCGCGCTTTTTGTTCTGATAGAACTTGAAGAGTTTGATTGATTTATTTTTGTTAAAACTTATGCACAGTAGAATTTATCGACAGGAAAAATAATCGGCCGATAAAATTCGCTCGAGTGATCGCTGATGACTTTTGCCGATGATATTTTTTCTCCATCCCATTCAAGTTTTTCAACAGCAAAACTAAGTTCAATAATTAATGAATGACTTATAGTTATTGGGTTTACATACGGTTTGCTGCTGCCGCTTACAAGATAAATCGTATTTCCAATCTTCGTTGCAGAGGAGTAAGTGTGCTAAAAATGAAGGCGAAAAGCATAGCTTTATACAAAAGAGGCCTACCCCTTTTTTTAGTTGGCCAACCACTGTCCATTCGGATTTGCGAAGTAAATAAACATCTTTTGGGTGGTAATATTCACCTTGGTCTTCATATTGACCCCCGAAGAGAAGATATCCATGGTGGACTCCGATACAGGAGTGGAGATAAATTGCCCTTCAAAAAGTCAAAAATATGAATAAATGGATTTACTTTGGAAAATCTCCTCTCTGTGCCCAAGAAACGCCATTGAAATTTTCCACCTTTTTGGGGCCGTCATATTCCCAGGAGCTGACAACAATGACTTCGTCGTTCAAGAAAGCCAAACAGGAAGCTTTGTGCGAGTATTTCGTGGCCGGTTTCATTGAAATAGAGGTTCCGTCGAATTCTTCGCATTTTTTCCATTCTTCGTCGTTTGGAAAGCAGAGCAAAGCTAGAAATCATACTTAGCATTTATAAATTCTTTACCATGAATAGATCCCACCAAAGCTTCAAATTAACCTGATTGTTGATTCGCTGCCGTTAATGCTGCAGAGTTCCAGTCATAATTAAAATTGAGTTTATTTTCTAGCTCTTGGATCTCACAGCCAGATATAACCGCAATCTAAATGAATAAGCAATTATTGATTTTCTTAGCGCAACTTACCCGGAACTTATATTCTGACCATCCACCAAAGATATAGACATTTCCGTAAATCAGAGCAGAAATCGATGCGTAAAGGTAGTGATGTGCATTACTAGAAGAAGGCATGTTTATTGCCCGAGGAATCTGATATCCGTTTGGTTTGAGAAAATAGCTGAGATACTCAGTTTTTGATTCATAGCCAGAAAGCACCATCAGTGAGCGATGTATTTTGAGTTCTGCATTTTCCGTCAAGACAACTGATAATTGTTTTTGAAGTTTTTCTTTTTCTTCTTTGTCTTTTTCAAGACGATTTTCCAATCGCTAGTGAAATATTATAATTATTAGTTGCACTGATTTTATCAACCTGAATTTTCTTTTCAAACTCTTCAATGACACCCTGTTGATGCTCGTTTTTCATTTGCATAGTCTCATTTTTTTCTTCAATTTGAAAAAAAACTTGAAAAGTTAAAACTTCGAATGAGAAATAAATCCTTACCATCATTAGTTGTGGCTTTAGTTGGCGAAGCCCTTTGAGTCGTTTCTGATGAAATCGTTGTTGATTGCACTTTGACTGGAACGACCGTAGAACTGACCAAGGCAGCCGAATGAGTACTCGTTTTTGAAAGGACTATCGGGGTCACAATTCCTCCGATTGTAAAGATAGCAACCAAAATCTTCAAAATAATCGAAACGCCTTTTAGTTTCTCAATCCAAGTTTTTTCCGGCAATTTTTCTTCTGGACTGCTGGCATTAACTGTATTTGGCATGTTGTTGACGTTGATTGAAAAATATACAGGGGTCGATGGAGAAGCTTGATTTGGTCCAGAAGATACTGTAGATTCTTCATTTTTCTCAGTTTTATCATCGCTTTAAAAAAAAACTCACAAAAAAATCAATAAGACTTTCAGAATCTCACTTGTTAATTTGCGAATACTCGTCTAGATTAAGCTCTTCCGGGCGGTCCCGTTTTCTTATACTTAGAATTCTCTTCATTAAAAAAGCTGTTTTATACAAGCGAGAGGCTTAGTCTGCGACCGACCGGCGGATTCTCCTGATAACGCGCTTTTGTGTGTAAGGCTCTCAGGCTCCCTGACTCATTTGATACTTTTTACTATAAATTTTTAATTTTGTCATGGACATGTAAAGTGATTTTCGGGCTTTATTTACTCAAATGCTTTTATAAAAATTTATGTACAGTAAAACTCATCAACTGGAAATACTATCGGCCGAATAAATTCTTTTGAGTGATTTTTGATGACTTTTGCCGAGGATATTTTCTCTCCGTCCCATTCTAGTTTTTCCACAGCGTAACTTAGTTTAATTATAATTGTTTTGTTTTTAAAATAACATACATATGAGACCGTTGATTTCTGCCGCTCACAAGATAAATCGTATTTCCGATTCGCGTTGCAGTAGAGTAAGAATGCTAAAATTTTATGGATCTATCAAACAAAGAAAGCCTTACAAATTCATTGAGTTTGCCAACCACGGTCCATTTTGAGTCACGGAGTAGATAAACATCCTTTGAATTGCCATATTTACCATTGTTTTTGTATTTCGCTCCGAAGAGAAGATATCCGTCGAAGACTCCAATGCAGGAGTGAAAGTAGATTGCACTTCAAATAATCAAAAAATAAATCATAAAATCGATTTACCTCGGAAAATCTTCGAGTTCTATCCAAGAAACTCCATCGAATTTCTCCACTTTTTTGTAGCCGTCGCTTAGACTGGAGCTGACTGTAACTGGTTTGTTATTGTAAAGCGCCAAGCATGAACCCTTGTGCGAGTATTTTGTCGCCGGCTTTATTGAAACATCGGTTCCGTCGAACTCTTCGCAACTTCTCCATTCGTCATCACGGGGAAAGCAAATCATGGCTAAAAATATAATTTCTAAATAATTCAAGGTAACACCAAGCTCATTACGAAAGGAAATTTACCTGATTGTTGATCCGCTGCCGTCACTGCAGCAGAGTTATATGTAAAATGGGAATTTAGTTTGCTTTCTAGCTCTTTGATTTCACAGCCACTTATCATCGCAATCTGAATTTCAATGTAAATAAACGATTGATTATTTTCTTTTTTTTTACCGCGACTTACTCTGAGCTCATATCCTTTATAATATCCTCCAAAAATGTAGACTTTTCCACGAATCAAAGCATAAATCGAACTGTTAAGGTAGTGGTATTTATGACCGGAAAAAGGCATTTTGATTTCCACAGAATTCTGGCTGCCGTCTGGTTTGAGAACGTAGCTGAGAAGCTCAGTCTTGTTTTCAAAACCAGAAAGAATCATCAGTGAATTCTTCTCCCGTCCGAAGCAATTTTCGCTTTCTGCTTTGAGTTCGTCGATCTCTGTTAGTCTATATGATAATTGTTTATTGAGGTTTTCTTTTTCTTTATGCTCTTCTTTAAGGCTTTCTTTCATCAATGAATTATTTTTTCGAAGCTCGTCGTTTTCTTGTTGAAGCCGGAGAATGTCTACGTTTTCAGAAGCAGTTCCTGGCCAACAAATTGTATTCAGTTTTTCTGATTTTTAGCAACGTTACCTGAAGCTGCAGCTGTGGAATTGTCTTGCGAATCCGAATGAGGACTCATTTTCGAAATAATTAAAGGCGTAACGATTCCATGGATTGTCAAAAGAGCCACTACGATCTTCAAAACCAGCGACAGACCTTTTAGTTTATTCATGCGCGACTTTTTATCCTTCTTCTCCTTCTTTTCTGCTTGGCTGCTCATTTGCTGATTGACGTTGACGACGACATTCAACGGAAAAGATGAAGGATCTTCTGAACTCTCTTGCTTTTTAAAACTTTTTTCTTTCATTTCAAGAATTTTTACGAGTATATTTTCTTCTGACCGGAGATTACGGTGACTCGGCGATGAGATTCTCAATTTGCGATTACAGTGAATATCATATTTACAGAATGAGCAGTTTCTTTGTATTTGCATTTGGAATTTCGCGGAACGGGCTTATTCGACTGCTCTCCGATGAGCTTACCGCAGAGAAATAATCTAATCTTTTGCTACTTGTAGAATTTTTGAAAAATGTCTTCCTTGATTTCACTTTGAGAAGAAGCTTGAAACTTTTCACTAGTAAGTAAGAGGCTTATCCTGCGACCAACCGATGGATTCCCCTGAGTTCGCGCTTTTCTGAGTCTCACTCTCAGGCTGCCTGAGTCTGGCATCATTTTAAAGTCCGCTCGAAGCGTTTATTATGATTTACAATTTCTCGGAGTACAGTAACAAATCGACGTCTTTACTGCTTAACATGTTTGAACTGGCGGAGGAGCTGCGGGCGGGCTTAGGAGGAGATCAGATTCTCGCGCTTTTTGTTTTGATAGAACTTGAAGAGCATGGCGATGCCGGCGGATAACGCGCCACACGATGATAACATAATCGTCCACATGGCAGTTGATCCCGCAATCGTACCATCTTCCACTTCCACAACCACTTTTCTAAAAACAAAGCTCAAAATCAAGCTCTCGAAAAAATCCGCGAAATCATCAAATTAAGGCTCTCCCAGGCCATTATTTCGACCCAAAAACGGATCATCTTTCGCAGGAGAAGTCCTTAAGAAAACATACTTGATATCTTCGACGATAACTTCCACCGTTTCCTTCACTTTTTCCTCGATGATTTCGAGCTCTTCCGTCTCTAGAATTTCCTCGATTGGCATTTCTGTCGTCGCAATTTCATCCTCTTCTGGCATTTCTGTCACAAAATCGGCCTCAGGAACAGCTGTTGTTTGTACCTCCCTTGGCCATTCTAGCGGTCCAAAGACCAGTTTTGTTTCGACAAGATCTACGTAGATCATCGACAAAAGAAAAACGCTAGAAAAAATACCTTCGAAAGTCTCTTTCTTTTCTTCCCAGTTCTCTTCAATCTCCATGGCAGCTGTCGTTTCCAATGGAATGTAGGGCGCCTGCGTCGTGAGGTCATCCCCCTCAGGTGTGCGGCGAATTCTTGACTTGCCCTTGCCACACTTGACTTCGCATTCGTCGCCTAAACAATACAGTCAAAGGCTCTTTCGTTGAGTTTACCTTTGTCGCAGAGGATTACGCTGCATCTGACGTCAACTGTCCATTCTGGAACAGCGAGAGAAAAACGCGCGGCGGGAGAATCCCCATTCGTGTAAACGTAAGAAGTCTCCTCTTCCGAATTACATCCGAAATCTGACAGTAAAGACACGCCTTTGGCAGTTTCGCATGATTTCACCAGCACGCGGATTGAACGGTCTTTTTCAAGGATTCAAGAAAAAAAAGGACCTAGATTAAAGTTTTCTAGAGAATTCGTTCTATTATCATTTTCTGTCCTAGACTGTCGATAAACTTGAGATTTTGAGCCGTTAATTGTCGACTTTCGAATCAAAATTTCACAATCGACAATCTAGGGCTTATTTTTGCGGAGGCGTCAGGAACCGACAAAAATTTTCGACAAATTTTGCGTGAAAATTTTCAACCAATCAGAAGCCTGGATTCGGAAAACCGGCCAATTAGTAGCCGAGTTGCCGCCAACACAAAATTTGTCGAAATTTTTGTCGGTTCCTTAAGCCACTTCCTAATTTTTCATCGTTTTATGGGCAATCTTTCGACTAAAAAAATTGGTCGAAATTTTCGAAATTTTAATTTTTGTGCTTCATAAATCCTTTCCTATCTCATCAGGCGCCAATGCTGCGAGATGGAGTATTTCGCCGCGGGAGAGCTCCAAGGCCTAAGCACACGTTTAAAAACCTGCGATAAGAGAATAAAATAAGCACTCACGTTACGCGACTGCTCCTGGAAGCTGTTGCTATCGTATCGCACGAGGCCGACGGGGACGATCTTTTGCTGGAAAATCACGTCTTGTTCTTTCACCGGCTCGACGTATTCTACAGCCGTGACGTCGATTGGATACTGGCATTGGAAATCCGCGGTGAAGACTGTTTTCGACGATCGAGAATTTGAAAGAAAAACGATAAATGAAAACCATAAAATAGGAAAAACGCTTTCTCGTGAGAAATTTTTTCTCTATTATATAAAAATTAATATGCGTAAATCTTCCTGATTATTTTATAAGTATCAAATTTTTATCAACCCCAAAAAGGGGTCCATAAAGGCAATTTTTCGTTTATTTTTGATTTTTACAAGGTGACACCCTTATTTTTTTCTGACCAAAAGAACGAAGAACTTCTCTATAAAAATATATATTTCAAAGATATTAAAAAAAAACCATAATATTTTAAGAGAAGTTGATGGATAAAGATTTTTTTTGCCCCAAGAAATTAATGTGATAAATAATAACGAGAAAGAATTTTTCCCGCCCTCTTTTGTGGGCAATTTCCATTCAAAATTTGACGATCGTTTCCTGTACCGTCGTTTGCATAGTTCAAGACAGTGTTGCTGACAGTCCTGTCTGTTTCGCTGATGGTGACTTTGCTTCCGCACGCGTCGAGGGGGGCGATGGTGAACGTGGTGAAGTCGCTGCTGGTGAAATTGGCGCAATGCTCTAATACGGAAAGGCGGGATACCTCAAAACCGAGTTTGGAATTTTTATTCAAATTGGCTTTGAAACTTTCGAAGAGAAATTCTTCAGATTTTTTGGGAAAAGGTTTTGGGCACTGATTGGTCATGACGTTTAATGTTAGGGTTTTGATTGGGTGAAAGGTTTAATTCAGGCTTCTTATTGGTCGATTCATTAAATTTGCGCGTCTGTAGGGTTATTGGTTTGAAAATTGCTTCTGATTGGTCGAAAAATTGCGTATGGATGTCTGATTGGTCCATTTGCAAAATCAAACGTTTTGATTGGCTAAGAATTAAATTTCATCTTTTAGCTTTTTGAAAGCGAAAATGTTCGATTGATCTTGGAAAAAAGTAAAAAAAAAACTCGTTCCTTGAATTTCTCGTGTAATCCAATCGTCTCTAAGTGCAAGTGGGAAACTGAGACGGTGATTGAGTCCAAGCCGCAATCAACGGAAAGCAAATCGTTGCAGACCGACTCGTAGTCGCGCGTGTGCACTGGCCGAGTGATAAGAAGCTCGGCGGGGGACCACTAAAATGCGTTATCAATTTCTTTTTCTTTCTTAACTTTTGTATTTACCGATTGAGCGTTTGATAATTGTTTGACTGGGGCGCCGCAAGCAGTCGCGCTTTCGACCGGATTTTCGGAGTTTGAAATTCGGAACTTTTGAATTTTGCCTTGAAATCCAGAAGCAAAGCCGAAATTTACATTGACGGAAGAAAACTGCGAAGTTGGGAAAGAAAAGGGCTGGACCTCGCTGTCTTTCCCGTCGAGGTAGACTGTGCAGGTGCTGGTGGTACAATCGGTGCAGATTTGGTGCCAGCGGAAATCGCGAAGGTCGATTTGAGAGAAGGAGAAATCGACGCTGGAGAGTTTGTTGGATAGAAGAACGCTGTTGTCTTTTTTTTGAGGATTACGTAATGCTTTTAACCCGTTTCGATGTGTCGACCAATTTTTTGGTACGACAATTTTAATGCAGCGTTTTCGAATCAAAAATAAACTCATTTGTTTTGGACCAAAATAATGAGTGAAAAAAATTTAACCCTTTTTAGTTCAATTGCCAATTTGTTGATAAATGGCTTCGACAATAAGAAACTCAAGCGAGTCGAAATCGGGTTAACTAAAGATAAGCCGCAGGCGGCTTTATCGAAGCGAAATTGATGAAGGTCAAAATGATGAACACCAAAATAATGGTCAATTTGCGCAAGGTGGTTAATTGAACAAATTTAATTACTTGGCAATTTTCTTTCTAAGAGGAAAAGAAAAGCTAAGCCCGAAATTTCTTTCTTTCCAAAAATTCGCTAATCCGTTGTCACGGGAATCGTAATCCTTTCCTCTCACGGAAACGGAAAGGTTGAGTTCGCCACTCTCCGTGTCGCTCAGTCTCAGCACTTCTCCTCCATCCGGAAACGTCGACTTCACCCACAAACAAGTAGCGAGATTCTGGCTTGGCTGGGGAAAGGAAAATGAGGTTTCGGCTCCATCAAAGGCTCCGGCTCGATCCGGCGGAAGATATAATTGGAAATCTATAAATATATTTATTTAACAGAAACGCGGAAATTGTTTTCTTGGGCCACTACAAATGTTAGCTGTTCTCGATGGCTAATCCTGGAACTACGGTGAAGTACGGAATCTTGACTCAGAAACCTAGGTAGAAAACCTGAGCCATGCCCTTGAAGAGCTGAAATGAAAAGCCGCGTAGCGGCTTTTTTAAAAACAAAGCCGCGAAGCGGCTTCGCAAATAAACCAAATTTATTTTCTTTCAACTCCTAGCGAAGACGCTTCGCGGCTTCGTTTTTAAAAAAGCCGCTGCGCGGCTTTTCATTTTAGCTCTTCCAGGAGCTGAGGTTTTCTATTCATGTTGCCGAGCCCAGTACGGAATATTCTTAATTTTACGGATAAAGGTTATTTTCTTCGGAGAAGACTAGCTGACTCAAGGATTAAAGATTTCTAGCTACTGTACTTGGAGATATTGGGGGATTGGATTTTACGTTACGGGCATTTTGGTAAACAGTTTCGCGGTTTTGGGGGTTTAACTTTTCGAGGGAGGGATTATTTTTAATTACTAAATTGAAGAGATGGGGCGAAGAAGGCAAGAATTTATTCTCTTTTATAAAATAAATGTCGTCAATACATGAGATCAAAACTAGGCTGCGAAACTTGCGTAAAAACCTGAGTCTGGGTCGTGGAAAAGATTTTGTCATCTTATAAGAGCGAAAATTAGCACTAAAATCAATTAATTAACCTGAATTTTGCGCAGCTGCGAGTCCAGCAAGCATAAAAGTCTTCATTTTTCTTCTTAAAATTATCTCTTTTTATCGTTTTTTTTCTTTTAATTTTTCTTTGTGTGTTATTTTTTGTAATAAACTTTCTGAGCCTTCTTTTTTTCTTGTATTTTTGTCTCGATGTTGAATTTAAAAATTTTTCGTTTACTCCCGCCTCGTCATTTCGATAACAAAGCAACAATCATCGGTTTTGGAGAAGTAATGCTGCGGTACTTAGCGCACTAGTAGCACTAGCGAAAGTAAAAAGCGCGTGGGTTACAGCTCTGGAACTCCAATGCCACAGGGTAACGTACACGGAGCAGCACCACCAACGAGCACCGCGCGCGCGCCACCATCCATTTTTTACGTTTCTTTGTTTCTTTCTCGGGAATTAGCGATTGTCCCAAAACCCAGACCACGTAATGCAATCTCGTTCTTTCGCAACTGTTGTTTGCATTCCAAGCGGTTGCTAATTAATAACCACGTAATAATTACCGATGTTTTTATCGATAAATATGCTTTTCAAGAAAAAAGTCGCGATAAAAAAATGAAGAGTTATGAAGCAAAAAATGTCTGTTTGAAATTCTGATAGCATGCTATTAAAATTCCTTTTACCGCAGCTGCGTTATTCAGTAATTACTGTGTCAAAAGAAGAAAAAGACAGAAAGGCGCCGCGAATCCGAGGTCACTGTATATTTATGTTTTTAGTTAAAGTTTTAGTTCTCCTCCCTGTTCGCTTTTTCGGCCTGTTTTTACTTCATCAATCCTTTTTTTTTTCTAAAACTTTTTCTCTGCAAATTTTACAGGGAAATGCGTAAGTGTCTGCTCCTGGAGGATTTATTCATGAGTGGCGAGCAGACTCTTTTCGTAAAACTCTATAATTGCACCTCGAAAGTGCAGCTCTTGAATAAGCTCTTCTTATCAGATAAGTCTAAGCGGGATATGTGTGCGCAAATGATGCATATCTTAGATTTTAAATTCTGTACAGTTGTTTTTATTCTGATAATAAATAAGTTAGATAGCGAGAGATGTACAAATAAGGCTCTTTCTTCGATATTTCATCTCAAGCGAATTCGACCAGCAGCTTGTTGAGCTTGGCAGATCGACTGGAAGGAGCGGGTTTATTGAACTTCGGCGATTCCTGTGGGGTATCAGCGGTGACGCTACAACTTTACAGTCAGCAGTACTGTCACGTGATTTTTTTGACTATTGAAAGACGCGATATGTGGCGAATGAAAATTCCAAGATTTCCAAGATTGTCTTTGAAACCCCCAGAATCGGGCCCAAGATTGTCGATTTTCGGGTATTTGACGGATTTTCGACCAATCAGAGCGCGGCGCGCCACTTTTGAATGACAATCTTGAGCGCAAAATTCGATTTCTAGTCGAAAATCTTGGATAGGGCCCCTTTTTTTAGTCAAAAAGTCGCAACATATCATTTATGATTTCTTATCATTTTCAAAATGATAACAAAAAATGGGGATCAGCTAAAGATGGTTCAAATTCAAGACCTCGGGCTGGTCTTATATTCATTCCATTCTGTAGCCCTGAACAACAACAAGTGGATATAAGGATTTGCGAATCTGGAATATTCGCAATTAAATATTCACCAAATTTCCGTGAGTGGAGGAGTAGTTTAGTTTGACATTTAAAAAAAATATTCCAGACGCGAGCGACGATTTCACCTTATATCGGGAGCGCCATGCGAGTCTTGCGAGTCCGAACTGGCTTTCATTAATTTCGAAACCATCATTATACCCTTTGCTTTCTTTTTAAACTTTTGCCTAGAAAAGGGCGGGTTAGTAGGGAGACTGCTTTCTCCGAGAGTCGAAATCAAGGAGGAAAATCAGCTCAAATCTAATAATTCATACGGAGAAGAGCTTAATGAAGCTGGACGAGGAGTTTTTTCGGACATCTTGCTCAACTGCGTAAACTGGGCTTTTGAGGGATGAAATTTTTTGTTCAAAAAATGGGAGATCCTGTCGGTTTTTCGTCGATTTTTGCGATTTTATGGCGAGAAAAAAAGAGGAATTTAAAAATATAAATTGTGATTTTTATCCGATTTTTGGTCAAAAATGGCTTTGATTGGTCTTTTTCTTAGATTTTAGACCAACAAACTTACCAATTTTGACCAAAAATGTTGAAAAATCGCTATTTCTGGCCAAAATGGAGCAATATTTGGTCAAGAATAACGAAAAATTGATGATTTCTGCTTCGAAATCCGCGAAAAACCAGTCAATTTTGACCAAATGCTGTTGAATACTCGTAGAAAAGCTACATGTCTCCTTTTATTTCTAACCCTATTGATGTAAATTTCATCCCTTGCTGAACATGTAGGCATATTAACTTCGTAGGTTTTGTTGAACATCGAATAGTCTAAATGGCAATCAACTACCATCTCCATCAAATAAAGTCCTGTTTGGAGAAAAAAGATCCGGTTAAATAATTGCCGATCCTGTTGAATACTCATTAGTCGCGCCGCCGAGACTTAAAATCGGGTTGAACCTAAAAAACAAAGGCTCAGAAGATAAATGGCCGTGAATAATGCAGATGCAGAGCGCCGGATCAATTTCCAAGCGATGAAATTAAATTTCAAGCAAAGTCGCTGCTTTACCGGTGTCCCCAGAGGATTTCGTTGTTCAAGTAGCTCGTGCGCGCTTGAGAGCTTTGTCCCGTAGATTCGACCACGCCTTCAAGTAGCACGATGATTTCAAACTGCTCGGCCATCATGTCGGTGCAGCTTTTCGTGGGTAAAAAAATTCAAGTGCAAATTGATCTTTTACAAGCCAATTTTGTTCAGCTAGTCAGTTTCTTATCAAAAATTCTTGTGGACGAATCAAAATGCTCAAAAAAGGTCGTCGACCAATCAGAACACCGGATTTTTCAACTATAAAAAATCCTCAAAAGTTATGGAAAATTCGGTGTTTTGATTGGTCGGCGACCTTTTTTGAGCAATTTGATTCGTCGACAAGAATTTTTGTTGTGAGTCATAAGTGTTGAGCTTTCTCCGAATTTCCGGAAAAATATCGCTCATTTGGGCACTCTTCCTTGATTTCAAAACCCATTCCTCATCTCCCAAAACGGGCTCTTCTCGTTAATTTCATGTTTGATAATCATCGGCGTCACTAGAAACAGCTTATCAGCCCCTGTAGCTGTTCCTACATCCATATCCCGCTGGTCCAACGGCAAAAACTCCCCCTTAAAAGGATTGAAAACGTTTTTTTTTCTTAAAAAATTGAGTACCTCGATGGTTTGTTTGGACTTGATAAACTTGACCTTGCAGATGCATTTGACAAAAGGGAATTTCGGAGGTTTCCGATTCGAAACATGAAGTTGTATTTTCCATCACGAATGGCGATGACCGCATTGTCGGAGAAAATAAGGGTGTCGTTTTTGTTCTTTTCGAGCCTTTCTTTTCAACTCAAATCGATTGCATTTGGCTATAACGATATTTTTCGATTTATTTTTTTGTATTCAGTAAAAAATATCAATAAAATTATAAATTCATGCTAAAAATATGATAAAAATGGTTTCCGCGGAATTTTTTCTTAAGATCTTTCCAAAGATGCGTATCAATTTTTCGCCATAAAAGGTGCCTTTTTCGCCGCTTGCCCGGGCGCGTCTGTAGCTCCGGCTGCAGCGCGTTCCACCCCCCTCGGCCCGCGCTGATCACGCAGGTTCGAATCCCGAAGCGTCCAAATCCATTATCGTGGTTAGACGAAATTCCAGATTCAGATTACGAACGAACTCAAACGCACTCAGATTCAATCAGCAGCACGATCAGGCAAACATGCAGATTGCTCCGAATTGGGAACGCTCCTGAACTCACAGAACTTGACGAACTATATCAGAGTAATGGATGTCTTCGAAAAAAGGTCTCCGGACCTTTCCTGGTTGGGCCCGCCAGGTTTTTGTCAAAAAAAATGATTTCAAAATAGAAAACAAGTAAAGTAATAAATTTTGATGAATCACGCTTCCAATCTTGTAAAAATAATTCGATAAAAATCAGTTTTTAAAATATAAATATTCATGAGTTTTAGGTCACTTATGGGTTGCATTTGATTCTAGAGCTTTTGAAAAACTTTCCTGAGGCTTGGAAATTTTGATAAAGATACATCCGACCATGAAAGCATCCACCATCGTTCCGGCCAAACACTAAAGAATCATCGATCTTATTCAAATGAGTCCAAAATCACCTGTATAATGAGCAGCAGAATCGCTTCAGGACAATTTGCTTTTCAAATTGATCGGAAAAGCATCCCCCTTACCCGGAGCCAACAAAAACAGCCACGTGTTTTCGCGGTGTAAAGTGTCTTTTCCTCTGTTCCGGACACGCGATTTTAAAAATTCACAAAGGGAATAATGCCCAAGGACGAGGAGTCCAACGATCAAAACCACTTCTGCCAGAAATTGGTTGTCCTCGCTTTCAAACTTGTTCGTTTTTAAAATTGATGGCCGAAACCAGACTCGGCGGAATATAGAATAACAGCAGTTAGAACTTCTAAATACTGTCACTCCAGAAACATACTAGAACAAGTCTTTTACTCGAAGAAAACAAGCTTGAATCAACTAAAGACGAGTGTCTCTTTTGTAAACTTGATTTTACAACGATTGTATATTCGAAAAGTTGAAAATATGTGCCTCTTTTAGAGCGATTTTCTGTTGAAATACAGTCAGAATCGTATTCTGGCAATTCATTGGTTGGCATCTTGGAAACTGGCAATTCTGTGCCGGCAAAAAATCTTCAAAATTGCCGTTTTTTGACTCAAAAACCTACGAAATTGGGACTAAACCAAAGATTGGAAGTGAATTTTTGAACTACCAATAAGATTGCTGCATTTGGCCTAGCGGCCAATCAAAACCATGATCCAGAAAATCACTGCCATATTTTTGGTTCTTTCCCTTTTTCGCCATTTTTCATAGAAAAATCACTCAAATTTTCAATCCTAACTGTAATTGATTTGACATTAGAATAATTTCTTGATCAACCTTCCTGTAATAGTCCTCTTCCCATAGCCAACCGTCGTTTCCGTCTCAACAAAAAACAAAAACGCGGTTTGAAAAGAGTTGACATTCTCAAAACAGACCGGTCGCTCATAAGTGTCGTTGACGAGCCAGTAATACTGTCGATCGTAGCTCTGGTCCAGGTTTCTAAATTTCAAGAGTTTGTTTTTGATTTCTGCTGATTGAACTATTCAGCACTCACCTTAAATAAAACACGTCGTTTTCGTCCAAGTGGCGGCTGCTGTCTGATGTTGCGTTGATCGAAAAATTAATGAGTTCTTCTTTTAATAGGTTCTAAAACTTGATAATCCTTAACTTTGATGCTTGAAATCTTTTTATGATAGCAGCAATCAGTAATTCTTATAATTATAAATCTAGGAAATGTCCCTAAAAAAATTGTAAAAAGAAACTTTTCAAAAGAGATTTATGGTCTTTTGAGAACCTGTTTCTTGAGAAAAATGCCGGATTTGATTGACCATGGTCTTGTTTTCCCAATACGACTTTGTCAATACATCCAGTTTCTCTCTTGCTTGATAGTAGTCAATGTCTCCACGAGCTTTGGCATCGACATAATATACAGATGAAAATATTATCCAGCTTTTTTTGTTTCAAAAACGGCCTTTTCTGGCTCAAAATTTCCACAGAAAGGACTCTATTATTCAACTCTTTTTCTGATTTTTGATTGGCTCACATGAAAAATGCCCAATTCTTATTGGCTAAAGATTTTTTATCGTCCAAAATATCGAAATCAGGCTGTAACTACCTGTACTTTTGAAACTCGCCTGAAGACATAAAAAGAAACATAAGAAAGCATAAAAATGCTGAAAGGAAGATCAATCATCGTCGTAAAGAAATCCGAAATGAATCGTTCAAATTTCTCTTTCGAATCCTAAAATGTTCCTTTTCCCCAAATTCTCCTCCATTTTAACATACTTGCCGGATATTACACTCGCCGGTTTTCTTCATAAATCTCGGAACCTGTGGCTTCTTTCCGGCGCCTTTTGCATTCGGGCTTTTTCCAAACTGATCCGGCTCGTCAAACAGCTTCAAGCCCATTTTTCGTTTCTCTGCTAAGGGAGATTTCTTCATCTCTTCGCCCCAAGTTAACAACGGTTATTACTAACTCAATTTGGATTGTGTTCAATAAGCCCCCCTATCTCTGCGCATGTTTTAATCATCCCTTCCCTTCCCTTCTTTTTCTAATCTGCAGTAGTCTCTCAATCAAAAAAGCAGCAACAAAACTGATTAAAAATCAAGTCTCTCTTCGGAAGCCGCGAAGATCAAGGAGGATTTAGTAGTTGAAAAAAGTCAGAAACAAGCACCTAATTTCGACCGTTGTTCAGTCTAGCGGGCCACCTAGCCACTTGCTGTCCGCTTGCATATTCAATCACCCGCCAATTAAAAAGTCAGTGCACAAGTTACCGCGCTTTATATAGATCTCTTTCAATTGCTCTTTCCAATGCATAAATGATGAGCATTTTTTATTGTCAGTAATTGCCGCCAGCTCGGTTCACTGATTTCTACTGTAATAAAAGATTTACTCTCCGCACTTGGGCTCGTAATGAATTTAACAACAACGGTACTTTTTGCTTGAGATGGCCATTGATCAAGGTTGCCGACGAGTAAAGATATTTTTCAGAAATCATATTTCGTAGTTTTTACAGAATATCAATATTATATCTTACAGTACCACATTCATCATTTTCGTTGAACCTTACAAAATGCCTCTGACCATCGCTTTTGCTATAAAGCTCGTACCGTGTGCACCCCCTTGTGTGCTGGATTTCTTCAGCTACAGCTTTGAACCGAACGCCTCCGTCTAAAATTACCCTTTGAATCTATATTTAGGGCTTTATTTACTTTCATTGCTTAGCCAAAGATAAATTGGTTCACCAATTTTAGTTTCTTTGTACTGCAGCCTCCATCCAGCCGATTCGACATCCCACTGATCGGAGTACCCAAACTTCTCGGAGTTTTATTTTCAAAATCCTGAGCTTCATCAGAAAAAAAACCCTTTCCTTGAAATTTACTTTTTTCGCACCGATTGAGAGCAATTTGAGCACTTTTTGGATTTCTTCTTCATTCATCCTGCCTCTCACAGACGAGTCGTCTTTTCCAAAATAATGCCCATATCCTCCAAGTGGCCCATTGTCCACTACATTCTGAAGCTTCTTCGCAATAGCACTAATATTCTTATAATGCGATTCTTGTTGAGTTGTAAGATTTGTAGCAATTTCTTGTATTTGTTTTTTTATCGCCTCAACTTCAACTCCAAAGGTTTCATTTTTGACCATTTCTTCGTTGATTTGATTGGTGATTTTTGAGAGTTCAGACGCAAATATTTCATTTTCACTTATAAGAGCCTCTACTTTACTTTCAAGGCTCTTTATTTTCTCTTCGTTGATATCATTTTCAATTCTTCTATTCTCATCTGTGTTTTGCAATTCTAGTTTTTTAATCTTGAGGTTCATCTCTTTCATAAGGTTTTCCAAGATGATGATTTTTTGACTTTGACAAGTTCATAAAGAAAAATAGAACCATATTTAGGTGGTTTTGTTAAACTTAAACTTGATTCTTTCAGTTCAAAAAATGTCTCCGAAGTCCAGTTAAAATTATTTTGAAGCCAATTTTTAGAGCAGGGGCATTTTTCTAGTTCATTGTTCAGATCTTTTCTGCAGAGCTCAACACAATCGGCATCCAAACAAGACTCTGTGCAAGTGCTAAAAGTAGCCTGAGCGGCTTCTTTGCATCTTGTGGCAGCTCTTTGGATCGAAGTAGATTTCTCGTTGGTGCAAAAGGAATCACAGGAGAAATCGACGCTGCAGACCTTTTTGAGCATTAAAAAATTGAAGGCGGTGTTTCTTGATTTTTATTATTTCTGCTCTTTCCTTGGTTGCATAAGATAAAGACGGGCGACCCGGACTATGTCGTCGAATGTCGTCGAATGTCGTCAATGAAAAAAATCGAGAAAAAAAATAAAAATATCTCATTCTAGAAACTGGACGAGATTCCCCGTAATTAATTATTTCTACTTTAAAATAGTGTAATTATGCTTCAAAATCGATATTTTTACATTCTTTTGATAAGTTAATGATAAGGAATGGAAGGTGCCCGCTCCGCGGGTTTGGTGGTAGGAAACTCATTGATGGGGCAGGTTACACTTCTATTTACCCGCCTTCATTGTTCCGCCAAATTTAGCATATTTTCATTCCCTAGAACAGATTTGTTTTCAAAATTTAGATTTTTTTTCCATTTTTGAAGAAAAATCTGACGACATTCGACGACATTGACGACATTCGACGACATTGACGACATTCGACGACATAGTCCGGGCCCCCCGATAAAGACAAATGAAAAATGAAAATTATCATCGTCTCTTTTCAAATCTTGTGGTTCTTCTCAATTCTAAATCAACTCTATTTGCTCTTACAAATGTGACTGAGGCATTGAACTTGTTTATCAAGAAGAATGAAAGAGATTTATTCAAACAAGAGCATCAAGATCAACAAAGAAATTATCACCAATCTCGGCCGCAGAATTGATCGTCGCGCTGGCGGTTTCGCCATTTGTATTTTCAATCTCGATCGTGAATGGGAAGGACGAAACAATTCCGTCAGCGATGTAGTAGTAGTTCTCTCCAACAGCGCCGGTGACACCACCATTTGGAAGGTCAACGCCGTTGATGCTCATTTTCACGATGCCGAATTTGTGATTCGAGGGTTGAATAGCCATCCAGAATTGAGAGCTGCCAGTTTTGAAGCGAATCTGAAGGAGTTCTAGTGGCTCATAGAAGGGGGACCGGTACCTGAGAAACGGGGTGAGGAACGAATCCGGCTGGGCACTCGACAAACTCCCAGCTTCCATCATAAATCGAAGGCGCTTCATTTCCGCTTACCGAGTTCCAGACCCAGGTAGAACTATCCACATGACCCTGATGGCATCCTAAAACACTCTCCTTATTTCTTATCCCCAATTTCCATAATCAAACCTGCATCGGGGCAGTTATCCGCGACAATAGCAATGGTCTCCTGTCCAGCAGCGCAGGCTCCTGGAAACTGGCTCTGAGTGCATTCGCACTTCATTTTGATGCATCGGCCGCAGTTTCTGTTCGAGTCGTAGTCGGTATCTTGATCCAAAGCGACGAACATGGTTGTTCCAAGATTGCTACCGCTCCACATCAAGCCGCAAGCGCCGTTTTCAATGTCGTTGTCGCGGAGATCGTAGTGGGTGAAGCTGCCGAGGGTGTTGAAAGGAGTGCAGGGAGCTACGGTTGTGGTCGGCGCCGGAGATTGGGTCGTTGTTGGGCCTGGAGCTTGAGTAGTGGTCGGTCCGGGCGACTGAGTCGTTGTTGTTGGACCAGGAGCCTGGGTTGTTGTAGTTGGACCTGGAGCTTGGGTCGTAGTTGCTCCACCGCCAGGAGAAGCAGTTGTTGTTCCTACAGATGTATTAGTACAGGGACAAGATTTGATCTCCTCGAAAACAGCCGAATTCGACATCGTCACTGTCTGCAGCGCCATCAAATTCGCATCAAACATCATTCCCGATTCAAAATTTGCTCCAGCAGCAAAATTAATTCGCCAAGTCAAGCCAGAATCAAGAGCTTGGACATTGTCAATTGGATGCGAGAAGGTGCTCCAAGTGACGGGGATTTTGAACTTGATCGTGACGAAATCAGTGTCTTGCCAAGTAGCGGGAAGTTGATAGTGCGCGTTGATTCTGAAGCAGTTTCGGCAGGACCACTCGTTTTCCAGGCCAATTTCTGCGGTGGTAAGGGAAGTGCAGGTGGAAGGCTTGGAAGCGTCGCAGCCAGAAGTAGGAGGATTGGTTGGGTTTTGAGTGGCTCCTTGAGTCGATGTTGTTGTAGCTAGAATTGTGAAATTTTTTAAGAACAGAACAATTGATGATAACCTGGAGCCTGAGTCGTTGTTGTCGGCACAGTGGGATTTGGACAGGTCCAGCCAGCGATGCTCGCTGAATCAACGACGCCAACCTTTCTCGACTTCCAGCGACAAATGCGATCTGGTCTGGGGCAACCGCAAACCGCAGAAAACTGCAGAAAATCACCAGCAGCAGTTGAAATTTCGCTTCCATTGTCGCATTTGTAAAGGCATTTCTTTTTGCGAATAGCGTTGATTCCTAAATGAAGAGTTTCTAGATTTTAGTAACCATAAACGGCAAAGAAATTGTACTTTTTGGTATTTTTCTTGGACAGAAGAGCTATCAATTCTTAGTGATTGATTTCCTTGGTGAAGGAGATGTGAGTTAAAGAATTTATTCTCGGAAGGTCAATACTTCAATAATTTTTCTGCTAGCCCCGAAGGGGGCCGTATTCTCAAAATTCCTCAAATCTAGCGCGCGATACTTCCATGTTTCCGCTTTTCTAGAACTATAAGTACATAAAAAACAGTACTTTTCTATACTTTCAATGACCATATGCTGGTCAGTAAACCTCGATGGAGGGAAACTGAATGCTTAATCTGCACCAGCCAATTATTTTTGTACGCCCAGATACGGGCCCGTTTCTGAAACCATCCTACTGAGCTTAGACAGTTTGAAAAGTTAGGTTTTCTAGATTTGAGAGACCATAACTGTACAAAAAACTGTACTTGTTTGACCTTTTTATTCGACGTAATTAATCAGTACCTTGGTGAAGGTTTGTTGATCATAGCATACTTGACCATAATTATGACAAATAGAAGAATATTTTTTTCGCCCTAGCAGCAGGGCCGTTTCCCAAAAACTTACCACAGTCAGCAGTTATGCCAGCTGGAGGACTTGGCAAATCTGTGCAAGTGTCGCAATCCGAGAGCGTCCTTTTCCAGAAAAATTGCTTGGTACTGTTCCATCTGCACTTTGTCCTTCGCCTGCCCATTGGAATGAATCCATCGTCGCAGACAAGGGCGCAAGTCGACTGGTCGCAGACGATTTGGCCGTTTTGAGGAGGAGTCATTGCAGGGCACAAGCTCCAAAGAGCCGCGACTTTGTCAACAGGGTGGCCCCAGCCGGCAGATTTCTCTCCAGAAACGACTCTCTGCAAAAACGCATCGTATTTTGGCTGCTCGTAGCTCGCCGCGACAGTCGAAAAAACCGCGGGAAAAATCTTCATCTCGGTGTTCTATTTAGACCTGATTCAGATTTTTGAAATGGATGAATTGAATTCTTGAATTTTTTGAGTCTCAAATTGGGGCGCCGCAATTCAAGATTTAAAAGGTTAATGCATCGAAAAATCCAGGTTCCGTTTAATTCTAACCTTTAATGTCACTTGCATTACCGTTCATTTTATTTTGAAAAGGGTTGAATTTATTTACAGATGATGGAAAAACGAGGATTTTTCATTGTTTCAGAACAGAGAAGAGTTGTTTTTGGTGATTTGGCTTCTTACAGTGAGGCTTTGTCCTTCTGAAATACAAAATTAAGGGTGTCACCATCTTAAATCTGGTTGAACTTCGAGAGATCAAAATATTGATGACTACTTTTTTAATTGAATTAATACGGACGTGCCCGTAAATACCGGAAATGAGCATCAGGTTCTTAGCAATTTAGTATTTTCCTATTTCTACAGTAACATTTAGTCTCTGGCCACGAGCGTGGCTGAAAGACCTTTCCCCGAGTTTCACAAAAACGGCGGTTTTTGCAATTTTGCGGCGGTGGTCGACCGCTACAAAACGGGAGCGCCGCTAATTTGGACACTAATTCTCTCAACAAAACAATAATCACTTGCTCGGAATTTTAGACTCCCCCTTTAATTTGCTCCTGTATCTTACCAAGACTGTAACTGCGTTGGTAGAAAAACTGGTCTGGGAGGCTGAGGCTAAGTGCTCGCGAGTGATGACTCTGTTGATTTTGATGACTCGGATGGGAGCTGGTTTTTCGGACTTAAAGGCGGATTTGTCCGATTTTTTATCGTCGGACTTCTTTTTGCTCTTTTTCTTGCGCTTTTCGCCGTTTTCGGAGTCGGATTTGGTCTTTGTCTTCTTTTTCTAATACAAAAAATTACTCCATCCTGATCTTAAGGGTCTCACCTTCTTAATTTTAGTATCCTCGCCGCTGGAAGTTCCTTGACCAGAATCTTCTTTTTCATCCGATTTCAAGGAAATCTTCTTCTTCTTTTTCTTCTTTTCTCCCGATGAGCTGGAAGAGCTCTTTTTTGATGATAAACTGGAAGATTTGATGATAGAAGAACCGCCATTGCGAGCTTTTTCGATGACTTCTTTTGCTCGAATGCGACGCTCTTCTTTTTCGATCTTTTCTTGGTCTTGGATTTTGAGATATTTGAGGCCGATGTTCTGTAGATTGTGGAGAAGAAAGCGGAGAACGGCGCATGTGTTTGTGAATGAAGCTCCAACACCTAGGTGGCTCATCCACCAGCGAAGCGAGATGATCTGAAAGACGTTTATAGCTGCGAAAATTAAACACGTCTGCAAATTTTTATTCTGAAAGAGATTCAGACCAGAAATCCCGTTTAAAAATGAGTTCGCAGCTTTCTGTAGATGCTAAAAAGATCATGGATCTTGAGAAACGATTGTATCAGTTAGAAAAATCGAATGAAGCACTATCACAGAGGTTCATATAAAATAATTTGATCGGTTATTAAACATAATCTCAGACAATGCTTACTTACTCACGAAGAACGAAAGAAAATGATACTCGATAGAATGCTATCAGAAGAAAAATGCTGGAATATCGCAGGCCGTTTTTATACAGAAGAAAGGGGTTATTTATTTCTTCAAGCTTTGCGAGCTGGAGAGAGGGTCGTGAATATAAGCCGTAATTGGCAATATGAGGAATTTAAAGATGAAGATGGTATCTTTAAGCAAAGGCGAGTTGAAGATTTGGAGGAGCGAATCGGTGGACAAGGATGGAGCATATATACGGAATTAAGCCAAATCCATGCGGATATAGAAATAATTTTCCCAAAAGATGTTAACTTTGATTATCGAGTCTCAGCATGCGTTAGTGCTGATGGCACCGCCGAAAATGCAGGGAAAATACTCTGGACAAATTCAGGAGCATTACAAACACTGAATAACTCCAATGGACCAGGAGACGTTAGTTTGAGATTCACCAAAAATATTGAATTGGAGAACACAGCTCAAGAAAATAGAAAAATGCTGAATATAAGATTTGGTGATCACATCAAGTTCAAAAACGATGAATACACCTATGTAGAGTTCCACTTTATTCAAGTTGTTTGGAATTTTATAAAAATTGATCAATAAAATTGCTTACCTTCAAACTCGTAACAAACATATCAGCATCCGTCTCCACCTCTGCCTTTCTAACCAAATCCTCTAATCCCTCTTTTGTGTAGTTGATCTTTCCCATGGCCCCGAGAAAGTCACGTTCACGGTCCTTAATTTTTCGCAGCGCATCTTCCTGCGCTCCCAGTTGTTTTCTGTAAAATCGCACTTCATCTAACATCATTTCCAATTCCGCCTTAAATCCATTATTCATCAATAAACCAAGAAAAAAGTACCTTTGACTCTGATTTTGGCACTTTCTGACCATTCGCAGCGGAGGAACAGGCAATGACCCAAATTCTAGAGCTCAGAATTTCGTATTTTTTGTGAATCACAGCCGGATTGACAGGAATCATGCTGAGCGTAAACGCTTCTCGTTTTTCTGGCTTGAGTCGATCGACCAAAGCAGTGATGAAGTCGCCGAAATCGTACAAAAGCGGCTTTTTGCTGCCGATCATATAGAAACTCTCGGTTTTGATGGATTTTTCCGAGAGGGAAGTCATCGCCGTTTTGCGGATTCTGGCGAGGCAGCGCTCGAGACTGTGGGTGTGTGGGTAGGTTTTACGGTCTTTTTGAGGTTCTTTCATTTTCTTTTGGTACTCTTCCTTGATTTCAGAAAGCAATTCGTAAATAAAACGAATTCGAGTCGATTTTCAGACATTTCATCGACTATTTTGAATTTTGAAAACCTTACTAAGGACTTTTTTGTGATTGCATAATAAGCCGCGCCGCGGCTAATTTAAATTGAAGCCGCAAAATTTCGAAAAATAGAGCGACCTTGTAATTTGGCGCGGCTTTTCTTTAAATCACTTTCAGGCCCTGACTCAGGTTTTGCACACAGGTTTTCGAAGTCTGCTTTTTGTATCTTTTATTGAAAGAACCTTTCCTTGATCGACGCTTTCATCGACTTTAGTCCTAGCGAAAATAACTGGCGTTTTTAATTCCTCGAATTGCTTGGCTAGCCAGCAATCCGAAGTCATAGCGAAGCGATTGCAGGATAAAATGATGACGAGATCGAAGCGGGAAGCGTTTATTTCTTTTAAGTACTTATCCTTTTTGTAGCGGCCCTCGCGCGCGATCGGCGGGAGCTCCCAAAATTGGATATTCGAATTAAAGGGATACACGTAGGGCATTGGAGACGTGCAGGAGCTCGACACTGTATAAGCCGAATTCGTGCCTCTAAAAATTTCGTAAGAGGTTGAACTTTTTCTAGAGCCTTAATTTTAACCCAAAAAACTTGATTTTTGAACAGAATTTTTTTGAATATGGGCAAAAATGATACTTTTTTGAGCCAAAATCGCCCGTTTTTTGTTTCTCTTATCCGATTTTGGGTCAAAAAATCTACGTTTTTGACTCAAAAATACCAAAAATTGATCACAAACCGGCAAAAAATCTTGGCTTCGAGCTTAACTCAGGCAATAAAGCCTATTTTCTTGATTCTAGCGCCCAAAACAGCTCCATTTTTTACCTCAAAGTGTTGATCAATTGGCTTTTTCCATTATCCTTATCTCCGTAGACCGCAATCGAGACTTTTTGGCTCCTCCAATCGTCCAAAAACTTCTTGATGTAGCGACTAACCGCTGCTGTTTCGTGTTTTTCAAGCATCTTCGTCACTTCTTTTGCCGCATGTTTTTCGATGATGATGTCTCCAGGTTGGCAAGAGACTTTGGAAATGATCTGTTCTTTCAGGGAGATCTCATCGATCGATTCATCTGAAAATTGAAGTTTGTGAAAATGATTGAAAAATGAAGATTTGAATAAAAAAATCTTGATAAAAAGCTCTAGAATTTTTAGAATTTCGGTATTAAAGGTTCAAGAAAAAGCTTAAGGGGGTAGAACTAGATTTTTGGAAAAACCGTGATTTTCGGAGGGCACTTTAAATAAGAAAAACCTGTTTTTACTTGTGATTACGCAATTTCCTCAAAAATGTTGCTAGATAAATGGTTAAACTATCTTAATATGAGATTTAAAAAATTTGGCTGGTCACGTGACTCGATAAATTTGAGGACGCGAATACGCTAAAATTGCGATTTTCGAAGAGGTGGGTTGACGTTTCGCTCTCTAGCGCCAAAATGTGTTGACGAAAAAAAATTTTAAGAAAAATGTTGTTAGATCTAAGTTTGTTCTTTCTTCAACCGAAGAGAGAATTTGAAAATCTAAGCTCTCCTCGCTTTGAGCGCCGGTCTAGAATCGGCTATTTTCGAAAAACCTAGTTCTACCCCCTTAAGGCTGTCTTTTTGCGAAATAAAATAAGGGTATCACTATGTTAAATCTCAGACAAAAGTCCGTTCGAAAATCAGGTTTTTCTATTGCTACATCCTTACTTTTTGACAAATTGTTATGATTCTTTTTCGAGTCAAAAAGCTCCTATCCAAGTTCATCTCGACTTAAGGGTGTCAACATGGATTTCAACACGTCTTTTTGACTCGTTTTTCCAACGTGATTTCCGCCACTCCTTATCGCCAATTCCCCCTTTTCAGATGCCCCATTAGGTCATTAAATTCTGCGATAAACGGATCTAACTCGAAGCTATTTGGCGACTTATACACGATAATAAACCAGCTGAGCTAGAATTGACAAGCGCCACGTTTGCGAGCTGGCTCGTTGGGTGTGATTGTTGAAACATGTCACACGCTCGCTGACATTTTCTGAAAATTTCTTTAAAAAGGACGCGAAATTTTTAATTTAAAAAATCACACTGCTTCATTTTCAAAATATTAGACCGGCGCTATTAAGATTAGACATATTTCCGGACACTTACAGCAATCAATTTAAATTCTGATCAACAGAATTAGGAATAGAATTAAGGGTGGGGGCGCGAAACGTTTAACTCAAAAATGATGCCAGAAAAACCGTTATTCATGCCGTGGATCCTTATTTTTATAGGGTAAGGGTTTGAATAAAGGCCCGTCTAAGGAGCAAAGAAAAAAATTAAAAATAAGGGGGTCACTCAGTTAACTCCTGCCTTAAATTTTCTATGATAAATTTTTTAAACATTGCCTTGATTTTTAGAACTTTCAGACTATCTTCATAAAATAAGAAAAAGGAAGAAAATAGAGAAAAATTTTGGCAGCTCAAAATTTTAACCTGTCGATATAACTGGGGCACTGCATTACTCCCTTATCAGAAATTAACTTTTTCGCGCCTCCAGGAGTCCTGTACTTATCTTTCTCGCCAAAAGACCCTAATCCCTAAAATCCCAATCTAAAGAAGCGGCGCAATCCAGTCGCTCCATTACAAGCGAGTTACGGGCGCCGGAAGTATTCTAGAGGGAATTAGGGGTCTCGCCAGAAAAATTCTTCAAACATGGGAGCGCCCTTCTAAATCGAGCCTGCGACCTTCGCGACTGTCTTCTTCTCCGAACGCTCAAAAACGCTAATTAGCGCTAAACACCACAATCGCAGCGCTTGGAGAAGAAAAGAAGTAAAAGTTCGTGTCAGCCAAATCCGATGTCAAAAACCAAAAAAGCTTTCATCAAGAAAAGGGTTCGAAAACCTGTTTAAAAAACCTGAGTCAGGTTTTGAAGCGCTCAAACAAAAAGCCGCATAGCGGCTTCGCCAAAATTACAAAAAGTCTTTTTTGTAAATATTGGCGAAGCCGCTTTGCGACTTCGTTTTTGAGAAAGCCGCTGCGCGGCTTAATATTTCAACGGTTCAAAGCCTGACTCAGGAATTTCATCACTTGTGTGCTCATTATTTTGCAGTGCAAGAAAAATAAGCAAAAACAAACGCCAATTAGGAAAAAATAAAATTTCCCCTTTCTCATGTTTCCTAATTGCTTGATGAACAGCCGATTAAATATTTAAAATTGGGATCGAGTGATGCAGTAAGAAATTAAATTAACAAACGTCGCGTGTGTGGCGCATAATTCTAGCGCGGGAACTATTCGCACCTGAAGCATACACTCTGACAGAGCAGCGTCGGGGAAAACAGAAATCTGATTAGTTGGGAGAACAAAAAAGAAGGTCACAGAAAGTTGGAAAAATAAATCTCCGATTTGATTTGAAGAAAAAAAAAGTTCATTTTTTACAAGGATTGGCTTTTTAGTGTTCAAAGAAGAATTTATGAAAAAAAAGCTAGATTTTTCTAAGAGAGCCAATCAAAAAGCGTGAGATGTTTTTTCAGCCAATCAAAATTTCGAGCCTCCGAATCTTTAAAAAAATGAAATTTTGTTCATTAAAGAAATTCTAAAACCATAAATCGACTAATTATAAGCTCTACATATATTTTGAAAATTAAATTTAGTTGATTTTATTGAATAAAATATCTTAAACGCCAAATGAACGATTAAACATCAGGTTTTTCAACAATTTTTAAAAATACTTAATGATAATTTTACCTGAACTGGAAGTAGCAGTCATGATTCAATTGCAAGTTGATTTCTCTTTTTATTCGAAAGAATTAATGAAGATCGCCTTTTGCAAATATGTATTATATTTAGGCTTTTGGCGAGCGCGAAACTTTAGTTTACTGTCCGATGAAAAATTGCGAGTCGTTTCCGAGTTGGCGGTGGAGCGCGCGCTCCGTGGCGCACCATTCCCATTTTTCAGCGGCGACGCTGATGTGATGCTCCGAAACAATCACACCACGTGATGCAAGTTCTATAAACCGACCGCGCTATTTATCCTTCGTGGCTGACAAAAAGAAAAAAAAACTAAGACCGGGTAAATTCAAAAACAATCTTTTTTATTTTTTCATTTTCGAAATCAGAAATCTCTTTCGCTCTTCCACTGACAATTCATTCCATCGTCCATTATACTTCTTCTGTTTATCCTCATTATAAGTATCAAAGGATTCTTGCTCCAGAAGCTCGTCTTTTCCGCTTGGTTCGGAAACCTGTGTGGAAAACCTGAGTCAGGATTTGAAAGACCCGCTTTTCCAAAATAAGCCGCTATTCAAACCCTGACTCAGGTTTTCCACAAAGGTTTTCGAGCCGAGCTTTTGGTTGGTCGATAAAATACATTCCCGCAGTAACGATTTCTTTATTGTCAAATCGCTGGACTTTTTCGTCCAATCTTGTATACAACTCTGGCTAAAAATAAGGTTCACCCCTCGAGAAAGAAAAATAGAACCCACATGAGCTTCAAATTCATCAACAGCTGCCATCATCTTCTCTGGAATCTCCCACAGTTCTCCATTTACCTGGCCTCGGCAACCTGTGTAGAAAGCCTGAGTCAAGGTTTGGAAGAACTGAAATGAAAAGCCGCGCAGGCAATATTACCAATACAATCTAACAGAAATTTTGGCGAAGCCGCTTCGCGGCTTCGTTTTTAAAAAAGCCGCTGCGCGGCTTTTCATTTCAGTTCTTCCAAACCTTGACTCAGGCTTTCTACGCAGGTTGCCGAGGCCAGCCAGTAACTCTACTCCCCTTGAAATGACCAGGGAGATTCAGGAGCGCTGGAATTCCGCATTCAGTGGCAACAACTGAAGCCATCAATTTTGAAGTGAAAAGTTCAAAAGTTACCGAGCGGAAATTCGCGGACCGTTTGAGCTTCGCTTATGAAAGTTCCCTCTAATTTCTCCATCTCGTGGTAGTTTGAAAATCCTCTCTTCAGCGTTCCATATACAAAAAGAAGCATTTTCGGTGCAGATTTTGGGTAAAAATGAATTTTTTTAGAAATGAATTTTGCGAAATTTTGACTCTTTGAAAAGTAAATATGGAACGTGCCAAAGGAACGCCCCATTTTCAAAACAAGAGTCATTCATTTCAATAAATATATTTTTTTTTCAAAAAAAAAATTTTTTTCTCGTTAAATTTTTTAACAGCGAAACTTTGTGACCGTAAAAATCAGCCAACCGCGTGTTCGTCTTTTTTCACGTTTTTCCGTCAACAGCTAAATCTCGGCTAAAATCGCACAGGTTAGACAGGAGCCAGCTACCAGCTTTGCTTAGCGTTACTTAGGGTTTCGTAATCCGCTTGTCTAAGCCGCTTTTTCATGAACTAACGAAATCGCTCTTCAGAATACTCTCACGTAACTTCCTTCTTTTCCAAAGAATCGCTGAGTGGACAGAAACATGAAAAATGAAACATGGCAATCCAACACCAGATCCAATAATACTGTATTATCCAGGCTGCTGGCCTTGAGTTTCAATAAAAAGCACGAGCCCCGAAAAGAAGTAAAAGAGCGTAATAAAATAAAATAAAAAAACGAAAAAAAAACGATGAGTTTTATAAGCTGCCTGGCCTGGAGACTGCTGATTTATCTCAGGTTAATTTTCTCCAATTTCTGATTTAAAGACGATTCTGAAGGAATTTTAGCAAGTGACACCCTAATTTTTACTTTTCGATTCTGAAAGAATTTTGAGCTAAAATAAGGGTGTCACTTTATTAACAAAAAATAAGCTTGACATCGACTTCCATGGCCACATTTTTTATGGGTTGTATACCCTTAAATTACCATTTTTTCAGCACTCTATTTTTGCTCTACATTCTCGTCCGGCTTCTTTTTATCAAGTGACACCCTTATTTTTATCTTACGATTCTAAAAGAATCGATTTGTTATTACTGAATCAAAATAAGGGTGTCACTTTATTAACAAAAAACCAAGCTTTTGATCGACTTTTATGACCCAAATTTTTATGGGCCGTATACCCTTAAATTATTTTCAGCACTCCGTTTTTGCTCTACATTCTTGTCCGACTTCACGTGACTAAAAAAGCCTTCTGGAACTCCAATTGTTATGAATTTCTTGCCTGCTTTTTCTGTATCAAACCCAATCAGAGCACTTCTGTATGAATAAATGTACAAAAACGTCCTGATTTTCTAGAGCCTAGAACTCCGCCGCCATGATTCTTCACCTCCTCAAAGAGAGAGACCCAAAAAAGCGTTGGTAAGATAATTAAGTCAGTGACTTTGTCGTAAAAATCGAGAAAAACGAGCAAATTAATATATTGTCATAAAGAGGGGCGAGGTACACACTCCTCGAAGTACTACCACTCGCTCTCCCGCTCTTCCTATCTTTTCCGAGAAATCTTCAGCAGAAAAACAACCTCTCTTGATAAAAAAAGATGAGCAGCAGTGACAACAATAGCAATACTAATAACTTGCAGCAGAGTAACATTCAACAAGTACAGATGAATCTACTGAGACAACTAGCCATTATTAATGCTGCTGTTGCTTCCAACAATCCCTCAGTTACAGAGAATACAGTAAGTTCAACCCTTTTTCCCTTCCTTTCACCCCGTTTTCAGCCCCCAGCTCCTCAAAATCCTCCACAACAATCAGTAATCCAGCGACTTCTAGTAATGGAATGGTAAGTAATTTCCTTTTCCCGACCTTACTGAGCCACTCTTACTGTAGCCTCCAGCGACAAGCACAAGCTCAACATCTACTGGAAGCGCTGGCATCCCTCAACGCTCAGAATTCTAGAGCTGGAGAAGGAAGAGGAGCCTCTGAAGCGTCCGAGTCTGAGAGCCAATCGATCGCTTCTAGTGACATTTCCGCGCTACCATCTCCTTCAATTCTGTCACTAGAAGATTCAGCCCACAGTTCTGCAAGTATAGAAAGCTCTATTCAAGGTACAGTAGTGAAGATATAAGCTTTGAAATCAAGGAGGAGGGCGGTTGATTTTCTGACCAACAATCCGTTATCCCCAAGAATTCACCAAGCTAGTCCTTGGCAATAGCTCTTGGGTGTATTATTACGATCGTTAATGAAATGAAGGGACTCCTTATTACCCCGTTCATAACCCCCTCCGCGGCGTAATTTATCTCTCCGGACTGCCATAATTGACCGCCTTGTCCTTGGTCAATAAAAATTCTTGTTTTTATGTTCCTCCTCGAGTACTCCTGATGTCTCTTTTTAGGGCACAACTACAGACTTGCTCTGACGGATAGAACATTGCTCAGGGCTCAATTGCCGCTGAGAGATGACCAAAGAAGACTTGAAAATTTGATTCAACGAGCGATTGGGCCGGAATGCCTCAGATTTACATTTGAACAGGCGAAGCTTCTCGTCGATGCGGGACTAGTCAGGCCTCATGGAAGCAAAGATACAGCAGGTAACCCGCTCTTGAATCCCTTTGCCCCATTTTCAGACAATTTGCGATACAAGTGCGTCTTTTGCAATGTCCTCCAAGTGCCGATCCGGTCGTTTAGGCGGACAGAACAGCTGCAGCGCCACTACCACAACCACCTAGACATACGTCTCTACAAATGCTCCGTCTGCGACAAACGATTCAAGCGCACAGACCACCTCAGAAGACATTTCAAAACGCAACATCCTAATCAGTACAAAATTATTTATGAATAAAAGACGTTATTTATTACAATTTAAAGATGTTATCATCCATGATATTATGATACATAACAGAAATATGGTTTTTGATTTGATCCTGGAGCGTAGTAGTAGCATTTATTTGAAAAATTTAGGAGTGATAAGAAACATCTTCTTATGGCTCTTTTTTACGGAATATTTTTTATGCAAAAGCTACATTTTTAGATGTCATATGAAAAATGGGAAAATTTGTTGGTTTAAATGTGAAGAAACAGCTGTTCGCAAATTTCACAGCGAGGAAGGGGATGAGCGAATTCGCCCAGCGAATCAAGACCCCTGAGTAAATTTGAATCTGTGCGATCTTGCGGAGAGATTTTCCACTTATTTTCTTGAAAGCGCGATTGTTTTTCAATTTTCAAGTTTAAAATTGTCCAAGATTTTCGGCATTTTGGCTACTCCTAACAAAAAAATTCTCTTAAAAAAAGCTCTTGTCAACAAGAATAAAATCAAATACAATTGAACATAAAATTGCCCTGTTTTGATAACAAGAGGATTCCTTACAAGAAGAAAATCGCATAACTGGTCATTTAATCAAAAAGAGCAGAACAATAAAAATAAAAAGCATGCAAAGTCGAATCTTGAGCGGCAGCTGCCAGATGACGTCCAATCCTCGCATCACTTCAAAATACGGCTGGTAGTTCAAATTGTCCGATTCCGTCTCCTCTGAACAATTTTTTGTCACAACCAGTTTTTCCCTCTTACCATCGCAGTTTTCCTCGACAATGTGGCTCAATTTGTTCTTCCTCTTCATTCGTTCAATCTCGTCGTTTTTGATGTATTCCATAATTCCAGACCAGCCGCCGCGCGCTTGAATCCAACTTATCGCATTTGCTTTCATTCCTTCTTTCACCACAGTTTTTGGGATAGTATTGATCAATTCCGAATGACCATTTTTCGCCAAGTCAGATGCTACCGAGGCAGCAAAGCAAATAAGACTTTATGGGCTCAAAAATAAGGATTTGAACGGCCTTGAACCTTTGGCCCGCATTTTTTTTTGATTTGTTAGCTAAGTGATACCCTTATTTTTTAACAGGAATTAAGGGGATGGCCTCCTAAAGAACAGAAAAGGTCGATTCATATTTTCAAAAAGGAAAATTTTCGAGCGAAAAAAAAAATAAAATCGCGAATGTTTTTGAAGAAAGTGAATTAGAAGCCGTTACCCCCTTAATTTTCCTATGAAACTCTGAAGAAAAGGCTCTCCTCGTTGATTTCAGAGCCGGTCCTTATAATCACAAACCAGTTAATTTTCTTTGCTGCAAAGAGGTTTTCGCTAAAATCCTGAATCACCAGCGTAATTGTCTTGTGATCAGCCAAATCAACGCTAGAATCATCCATTGAAATCATAAACGAGTCGTCCAACAAACCGTAATTGCTTGGAAATATCCGCGAAAAGGGAGGGGTAGCAGTTTTCGAATTCAATGCCCATTTTGACAATTTCGCTGGTATATTCTTGGCAAACAGAAAGTCGCCTGTAATCGAAGCCGCCAGTTTTTGAGTGATAGAGTCTTTTTCTTTCAACAAATTTTCAAAGCGAAAAATCACGGTTTTCGAAAGAAAAAATTCCTGTGATGAATGTACTGATGAATAATTTCCGCCATGTCGCTCATGATCGTTTCCACAGATTCCTTCGCCCGATCGATGGATTCTTGCTTCGCCAGCGCTTCTTCTTGCTTCTTTTCAACTCGAGTTTGGAGCGCCTTTTTGCCGATCACGATAATTTCGTGACAATAATGGAATAACGAAAAGATGGTTTTTAAAAGTTAAAATGCCTTCAAAATGTCACGAAAGTCAGAAACGTCACGATGTCACGAAAATAATTTATTTTTTATACTTTAAGTATATTTAGTGAAAAAAATGTCGAAAAATCAACGATTTTCGTGACTTTCGTAACAATCGTGACTTTTCTAATATTTTTTACGCGTCTGTTTGTCACATGAGCACAAATTGTCGGAATTGTCAATAAGTTTTCTTGACTGGAATATCTCGAAATTATCTTGTTTTCGTCATTTTCGTGACAGTCGTGACATTTTCAGTAACGACCAAATTATGTTTTCTTTTTGAATCGGTCCTTTAACTGGGTTTGGAAGTCATCTGTGTCTGCTTTAAAATAATCACTTGTTTACCAAAAAAAATTCCAGCAACTAACTCTAACTAAACATTGAACAAACATGCTCTCATAAACAAAGAACAGTAAACAACAGAAACATGAATTATTTCTACCATTGACCAAAGTCGTCGTTCTTCTTGCAAATCTGTTTCTTCTCTCCCTCATGCCTCTCTCCATTTTTCGAGTTTTTTTCCCTCTCTGCCAAAAAATCCAAAAATCACAAAAATTAATCAGCCGAAGATTAAAAAGAAAAAACGCGCCAAATTCATGAAAAACTGGAATCTTCCGTTTTGCTCTGTTTCTAGTAAGGGCTCGAACAGTTGCTTCCGATGAAAGGCCATTTGTGCGTTTTAATGGCAGATTTTCTAAAGGGCCCCTTTTCAGCAAAAGCTGCTGCGCTATTTACAACAGATTTTGCCTCGCCAAAAGAATTCGTCCAAAACTGGAGAAAATTTCAATTTCCTGATAAAAATTATTTTAAAATTAATCTTTGCTTCAAAAAGAATATCTTCGAATGAATCAGTTAGCTTATGAAATTATTTAAATTTATTATTTTCAATTTTTTCACTCGAATTCCTGTTTTTGTCGCGTCTCTCGAAAACTCAATCAACCGCAAAATAAACTCGGCTGATCAATTTTATACCGATCGATTTGATTTTCATAATTTTATTCTCCCCTCCTTTTATGGACCCGTTTATGGGATTTCTTACATCATCGAAGCTGATTCTTATTTATGTACTGAATACGGGAAATAGTTGTTTTAATTTAATGATGAATGAGAGGGTGTATTTATAATTGACTGATTTATTGAAGAAAATTGATGATGATTTCTTCAAAACGTCAAAATAACCAGCTTCGTTCGCGGATTTCCCCGCGAAAAAGAGACCACCATAGAAAACTGCAATGGAAAGCACAGCGAATGTTTCTCCAAGCAGAAGTTTGAACTTCATCTCTGAAAAAAATCTCAAACTTATACCGAGAGCGACAAACTTCACGACGGAGTCTGTGAGGCCGGCCGGGGATTTTGACTGTTTTGCGCGCATTCTAGTATTTTCCCATGCCTGATGGAGGACCCTTATCTGGTGGAAGACCCAATTGATGGAAGATAGGTCTAACAAAGACTATTTTAGATTACTTGATCTATAAATTATAAACAGATAATCATTTCGAAAAATCTTAATCATGTGACTCTTGGAGGACCCTTGGAGGACTTTTTCAGGTGGAAGACCGGCCTTCCTGGAAAACCAGAGATTGGAAGATGTTGTTCGGGCCGTCTCAGCCCCGTTCCATGATTTTTAAATTTAAGGGGCTTGACGGCCCTTCGGGCCGTCTCAGCCCCGTTCCATGATTTTTAAATTTAAGGGCTTGACGGCCCTTCGGGCCGTCTCAGCCCCGTTCCATGATTTTTAAATTTAAGGGCTTGACGGCCCTTCGGGCCGTCTCAGCCCCGTTCCATGATTTTTAAATTTAAGGGCTTGACGGCCCTTCGGGCCGTCTCAGCCCCGTTCCATGATTTTTAAATTTAAGGGGCTTGACGGCCCTTCGGGCCGTCTCAGCCCCGTTCCATGATTTTTAAATTTAAGGGCTTGACGGCCCTTCGGGCCGTCTCAGCCCCGTTCCATGATTTTTAAATTTAAGGGGCTTGACGGCCCTTCGGGCCGTCTCAGCCCCGTTCCATGATTTTTAAATTTAAGGGGCTTGACGGCCCTTCGGGCCGTCTCAGCCCCGTTCCATGATTTTTAAATTTAAGGGCTTGACGGCCCTTCGGGCCGTCTCAGCCCCGTTCCATGATTTTTAAATTTAAGGGCTTGACGGCCCTTCGGGCCGTCTCAGCCCCGTTCCATGATTTTTAAATTTAAGGGGCTTGACGGCCCTTCGGGCCGTCTCAGCCCCGTTCCATGATTTTTAAATTTAAGGGCTTGACGGCCCTTCGGGCCGTCTCAGCCCCGTTCCATGATTTTTAAATTTAAGGGGCTTGACGGCCCTTCGGGCCGTCTCAGCCCCGTTCCATGATTTTTAAATTTAAGGGGCTTGACGGCCCTTCGGGCCGTCTCAGCCCCGTTCCATGATTTTTAAATTTAAGGGGCTTGACGGCCCTTCGGGCCGTCTCAGCCCCGTTCCATGATTTTTAAATTTAAGGGCTTGACGGCCCTTCGGGCCGTCTCAGCCCCGTTCCATGATTTTTAAATTTAAGGGCTTGACGGCCCTTCGGGCCGTCTCAGCCCCGTTCCATGATTTTTAAATTTAAGGGGCTTGACGGCCCTTCGGGCCGTCTCAGCCCCGTTCCATGATTTTTAAATTTAAGGGCTTGACGGCCCTTCGGGCCGTCTCAGCCCCGTTCCATGATTTTTAAATTTAAGGGGCTTGACGGCCCTTCGGGCCGTCTCAGCCCCGTTCCATGATTTTTAAATTTAAGGGGCTTGACGGCCCTTCGGGCCGTCTCAGCCCCGTTCCATGATTTTTAAATTTAAGGGGCTTGACGGCCCTTCGGGCCGTCTCAGCCCCGTTCCATGATTTTTAAATTTAAGGGGCTTGATAATGGCTGGGAACTCCGAGGTGATCAATCTCAGTTACGTCCCCAACCCCACCCACACCCATTGTTTATTAAATTGAAATTGACAATTTTTACAACCATATTATGGTTTTGATTACAAGTTTTGAATATATATTTTTTTAATTTTAAGATTTCCTATTATTATTATTAGCATATTATTATTATTTACTTTATTAATTTTATTAAAATAAATCAAAAGTGAGAAGAATTAAATAAAGAAAAAGTTTCCTCGGTGAATTCTTGAGAGAGGTGAATTGTGGAAAATGTTTCTAGACGGGGGGTTGTTGTTGTTCTTCGCGGAGGACCCATTCCCACGCGGCGCAATTCGCGCGCCAAAAGAGCAAAAGATCGGGGCAAGAAAAGCACGCGCAAATGCCCCAATGTATTACGCGCTCCGTCGTGAAATTTGTCGCTCTCGGTAATTTCTTCTTTGTCAATTACCAGCAGAATCATTGACTCTTGGATAAGGACAATCAGGGACTGGCTTGCCAAGAAAATCGCAAATCGGTTTCCAGCCTTCTTTTGCATTGTGAATCAGCAGTTTTTCTTTTGGTACTGTAGCGATGACATGTTCGATCCAGTCATTGTAGCACTTTTCCAGCCCAGCTCTTGAATAATCGACTGGAGCGCCGCGGAACATTCGCTCGATCGCATTTTGCATTCGATCAAAGTCCGAAAACGGGAGCCAGAAAACCGGTCGTAGAACAATTTTATGGAGATCAAAAGGGAAGAGCATTTTCAAAAGGCTTTTCGACCGCCCGTGTATTCTGAAAAAATCGTCTCGTCGACTGATTTTGACCAAGCTGCGGCGGAATCGCGCACTTTTCAAAGCTCAACTTTTTCCTGCGAAATTGGTCTTTTCACTATTTTTGAGCTTGTTTCTGAAAGGATAATTTTCGCGTCTGGGCTCATTCGCATCAAGTCCTCGAAAAAACAGCGCCGGGGAAATCGACAATGGCCTTGTAGCCCTTATCAGTGAGAACTTCTTTGAGAGCTTGTTCTCGCTCTTCAATCGTTGAAGCTTCATTCGCCCGGAACCAAAATCGCTTGTGGTTGAATTTCAGATTTTCAAACATGTGATAACACGGACTGCGGAAAAATTGATTTGATGAAATCAAGGAAGAGAACTTACGAAGTCCCGTCTAGCATGTTCAAAGCGGTATAAAGACTTAACATCCCGGTTCTCCCAAAACCAGCTCCGATCACTTCTAGTCCCGACATTTTTCTTTTTCTCTAGAATTTTTGTCAAAGACTTCGTGTTTTTTCAAAAGTAAATCTACGAAATGTAAATATTTTTCGCGAACACTGAGTCAGAGTTTAGATTTGCTCGCCGGTTAAATTAAAAATTTTTTAGTTTGAAAAATTTTTTGGAAATCAAAGTTCAAGTTGATTTTATTCGAATTTTTCTTCGCCGCAAATTACAATTTTAGCAAGCCAATTTTCTCTGCGCTAAAAGTCCACGGGAACGCGCAAGATACTAAATCTCGGATAAGAAAATCAACGAGCAAATAAAGTTTTACGTAACCTTGCAATTTGAAATTTTGCGATTTTTGTCAGACAATTTGAGCTTGAATCTGTCTATCAAAGATTCAGAATCCTAGAAATGCAGTCTTTGATATTTTCGCTTTTCGGGATGGTTAGAAGGTTCTTCCTTTTGTTTCGTAACCAAGCGGTTTTTTCATTGCAAACCGCTTTGTTGGGAGAAACAATATGTTTTGAGCATAATGAGCATTTTTCCCTGTTTTGAGGAAAATACAATTATTGATGATGAAATATCAAAAGAAAGTATAGAATAACTGTATTTTCGGCTTGAAAATGGGCTTTTATTATCAAATATTAAGGGTGTCACTACTTTATCTTCCGAAAAATTTCTTTTGACACCTGAATTCGAATAATTAAGGAGGTAGACATCCGTATTTCTTAATTTTTCAGAGATTTTTTTTAGCATTGTGGCACCCTTATTTTTATTCAAAGCTGAAAATATTAAGGGTGTCCATACATTATTTTCAAAATAATAGGATTAAAAGCTAGTTTTGATCTTTCCCCTTTTTGCGAAATTTCGCAAAAAAATGGTATTTCTTACATTGTTTGATTATCTGATGCAATACTGAATTTCCAACACAAATTCAGCTACCTAAAATTACGCGACGAGCGGGAGCTCAATCATGTTCAAAATCCGGTTTGCGGAAACTCCCTTACTGTAGCTTTTTCGATTGTCAAAACCCAGCTCTTCCGGAATTTATAAACAGCCAAATTTCGCTTGAAAAATTCGCAAGGTCGCTTTTTCCGGCTTGATTCGTCTTTTTCAATAATTTTTGATTTCTTGGGAATCAAATGAAACGAAAAGTATCAATAAATTAAAAAAGTCTCCATTTTCGACTATTTTGGCAACACATTTTCTTTGTCTTACAACGAGTGTTCTTTGTCTTCTATATTTTGATAGAGTGGGAATAATATTTTTGCTGGGGCCGAGGCGAGTTCCACCGAGTTACCGCACTTCTTTGCGCGAAGCGACAAGTTCTAAAAGGTCACGTGACCTAACTTCCGTGCCGATCTCTTTTCAAGGTCAAAATCTGAGTCCAAGCGACCTTCAAGCTCTTTTTAGACACCTGCACTCGAATAATTAAGGCGGTAGACATCCCTTTTTCAAGATTCCCAAGAAAAGTCTATTTTGGGTCTAAGCATCGTCACACCCTTAATTTTATTCAAAAATTATTAAAGTTTGAATGAAAAAGCGACTTTTCGTGAAATAAGGGTGTCTCTTTCTTAATTATAATAATTATAGAGGAATTTCTTCATTATTAGGCCTTTATAAATTATAATTTTTTGTGAAATAAAATAAGGGTATACTTCTAATTTATTTACAATTTTTCATAAAAAATTATTCTTCTGAGTCTTCTTTTTCAGTGTTGAGAATCTCTCTTCGGCTTCCTACAGACAAGCAACAGTACAAGAGACATCAGCAAAAGCGCCACCACTGGAAATCCTATTGCAATCAAAAGAACAAATTTCTCAGTTGCGATTTTCTCCATCTTAAATTTTCCTACTTAGCTTCTTAAGCCTCCCTTGGCGCAATCCTACTAATTGGCATCACTTTTTATTTTGATAAATGAGCAGTGGTTGTTATTCGAGCGTTTTTATTGTGACCTCTTCCTTATAAACATCCTTATTTTTCGTCCATTTAGCAAAATTTTCTTTTGTAAAAATGGCTTCGGAACAAATCTACCGTTTATTTTCCAACCGTTGTCTTTTCAAACCGCAAAAATTGTTTCCACCTTTCCTAGCCCTGTTTCTTTCCCAAATATTTTCATCTCCATTTTTTTCTTTTCGCCGATTATTCAAAAGCTGGAGCGATTAGTAGTAGCATTTATTGTAATCAAAAACGGGAGGAAGAAATTTTTCGTGAACGTCATGTTTATTTCGTAGCATTTTTGAAACAATTTCAATATGCGGGTTTGGCTTCAGAAGATCGTCAGTGGAATTTGACAGAAATTCCGACTGTCGTTATTACGTTCCACTTCAAAATGCCTTTTTCTGTATAATTTTCGGCTAAAATCAATCTTGCGCTCATTTTTTTCTTGAGTTTTCATTGTGACACCCTTATTTTATCATTTTAGCCGAAAAATAAGGGCGTCACTTTGCTATCTTTCGAAAAAATGAGAGTTGAAATCTGTCTAGTGTTGTCTAGTAGGTCGTAACGACCTTAATTTCAGAAAAATGCTCTTTGATGCAGAAATCAGGAAAGAGAACTGTCTAAAAAGGAAGTCTATCTGTCCGTGAATTTGATATTTTCGCTCGGCTTCTTTTGCTATTTTGAAACACGTGATCCGTCGTTGCCATTTTCACGACAAGAAGTAAACGCTTCATCTTGCCTTTCTGCCCGCTCGGTTGGAGATTAGAGCTAAAATGAAATGTGGTCTAGTAATTACGCAAATTCGCGACACTTGATAAAGAAAATGAGCTGTTCAATTAGAGAATAGAACTTTTGAATCTGAACTTTTGCGGGATCGATAAGATGCTCAACGAGAGTCCTTACTTATTCTAGTGTTCTTAGCAAATTATGACGCTTGTTTGCTTTTTAGATCATCGGAGAGGGCGATCAAATAAATTTGGGGTAATTTGAGGTTGTTCCTTAATTTACACTAAGATTTTTTTCACGAACCAATAAGAAATGAGTCCTTTCATGAATCAGCCAATCAAAAGAGAGAAAATTGTATGAAATCATTTAAAACCAATAAAATCGCGGCATTCGACATTTGAACCAATCAAAAAGAGTAGAAAAAACAAAAACCAATTTTTTGGCAAAAGAGCTTCGATGGGTTAATCGCCATTTTTTGAATGAGGGGAAGAAGAAGACAGTTGTTGTTGATTTTGATTTTTTGAAAGTTTATTGAATAAGTTGTATGAAACAGTAAAAATGAACATTGGAAGCAGTAAGAACTTAGGGCGTTTGTGTCAGAGTCTTCACAAATGACCAAGGAACAGCTGGCATCTGCTGTGATTGGCTGAGCCCTTACCAGAACCTACTTCTTGAATTCAGACCTTTCATTGCTTCCTTAGAGAGCTCAGCGAGGCAAGTTCACAGCAGATGGCAGCATTTCTATACATCTATGAATAATTACAGTAACGGGATCAAAGACCACCTAAGGTGCGTCCTTTTGTGTACTCAAAAGCTTATTTTTTGAATTTTGAACAGAAAATTTTCAACAGCGCCACCAGCGATTTTTGATTCTTGGCTTCTTCGGAGGCCAATTTTTTCGGAAAACTACTGTATCAGGAGCCAATCACGTGAAGGGCAGTTGAAATGCTGTTGTTTTTGTAACGATTTTGTTGTTTTTTAGCGGGAAGTATAAAAGAGAGTCAGCCTGTACAAATTCACACGTCGCAGGGTCTAAAAGTGAGGGTTAGTTGAGTCCGCTTTCATTGAAAAAGTGATTGGGCCGGCTTTAGAGTCTAAATTGAATGGAAATTCTAGCGCTCGTTTAATTCTGGCACTTTGGACAGCTTCGTGAGCCAATTTGAAGCTTGAGCGCAGAGTACGAAAAAATTGGATGAGCCTTTCCACCAGATTTCTAGAGACCGTGTTTTTCAGGTGCTTTTAAGGGTATCCACAGCGATATTTCAATTGAAGAAATCACTGTGGATACCCTTAAAAAGGCCTGAAAATTTGGAAGAATAAATTGTTGAAAAATTAAGGGTATCAACAGACTATTTTTTGAAAGAAAAAAATTTGATGTTGATACCCTTAATTTTAAGATTTTCAAAGATTGCTTACCGAAAAATGGCCCCTTGATAATATTTTTAAGAAAAAAGAAGCATAAAATTTTCGCAATGCTTCTTCTTTCTTTCTTCTTAGACCAGGGCCAATTTGTTGGTAATCATGTCGACCGGCTTGTCCTCCGGAATCTTGCAGCAAGAAGAGCCAGATTCGGAAATGGGGGAGCCGGCGCGCGCGTCGGAATAGTCGGATTCGGAGCTGGACACGGCGGAGACATCGGACGAGGAAATTTGACTGGAGCTTTGGGACCAGTAGGCTTGATCGATTCGCGCTGGATTGGCGGTCACCAATCGCTAGAATTTGGGTTAGAAAAAGGGCAAGAAAGAAATGAAAAGAATGGTCGCTCGGTGGCGCCTTTTGTTTAAAAGAAGAGATCTGATTGGCTGTTACCTTTATGACTCTCTTGTAAGGCTTGTTTGTCTCGACTTCTGAAGAATCGGAAGAAGTGTCGGAAATGACCGTCTTTGTAACGATGTACTGTTGGGTAAGATTCGAGCTGGGCTGATGAACAATTTCGCCATATGTTTTCTTTTGGAAGTTAAGTTCTTCTCCAAGCCCAGGTTTGATCAATCCAACGCTAGAACAAATGTTAGAGGGGCTGTTTTGAGGGATGAAAGAAGATTCTAGAGCTCGGGCATTTGGTTCGATAAAATACTTGAAAGTAAGCTGTCCAAGACGCTTGCGAAGGACGCCAACGACGAATTTGGCGGTGCGGGCTGTCAGGAATTCCACGATGGCGGAGTGAGTCTTGGGCACCAACTGCTTGACATCACACCACTTGCGCACATTCTCGGGGATTTCGTCGTTTACGCCGATCACTTGGATCTGCGCTACTTCTCCGTAAGGATGGAAAAACGCTGAAAAAAGATGTTATTCAACGCTTCTTTATTTGCAGTTGTATTTTTGCAAAAATAAAAACACCCGCCACGTTCTTGCAAAAACACGCAAGAATGTCAAAAGTGGTGATTTCGTAAAAAGGCTCAATTTTCGTGACGATGTGGGTGATTGTCACCTTGAGCAGAAAGATGATCAGAAACGTCTTGAAATCCGTAATTAGAGCATTTTTTGCGGAGACGACTAGAGCGGATATTAACAGTTCTGGGGAAGCGACTAATGGCGCCGAAAATGGACCTTTTGACGACAACGGGTTAATTTTTTCTTACCAGCAAGACCGCCAATATTTCGCATGTGAGGAGGAAGATTTGTAAGGAAGAGCTCGCAGTGTGGTTTGATGATTTCTTTAGGCTCTTTCTTTTCACGTTTGTGTTGCTCTTTCTTGGTCCAGTTTCGGAAGTTCGAGTTGGATCTGTCCTCTGCTCGGTCGTCGTGCTGTCGCCACTTGTTACGATAGTTCGAGTTGGAGTTGGATTTCTGAAGCGGATTTTAGGATTTGATATGGATATACTATCTAATTGTGGGATAAGGAAATGTAATTACTGATAAGAGGACTCTTATCAGTAGTTCTAGGATGTCATTAAGGCTTTAAAGGTAGCCCAAGAAAAAATGACTGTATCTCCTTAATTTTCTTAAGGGTATCACTTGATAATTAGATCATAGAAAGCGAAAGGAACAAAAAGTGCCACTGTTGCTCTAAGGGGTTAAATTTTACCTTGTTGAATGGTTTTCTGTTGTTGTTATCCTTCTGATTCGTCTTTTCAACTTTTTTGTTATTATTATTGTTGTTGTTGTTATTTTTTGATGCATTTCTCATGTGCGGTGGGACGTAGGCTCCTTTGATACCGTTTTTAGCAGCGTCTCGGGTCGAGTACGTAGCTCGGTGTCCAGGGAGCTTTTGCTTGTTCCCCCCAGCGCTGGACTGAGGGTTAAACGTAGCAGTCTTTTTTGGAAGGTTCTGTTGGTTCTGTGCATTATTGACAATGATCGGTGACGACATGATTTGAAGAAGTTATCCCTTTGTGAGTCTGAAAAGAATGGAGATTTAGAGTTTTTTATGATTTTTGTAGATTTTCAGGAATTTTGAAGGGCAAAAGGGTTGAAAAAATGATAAAAACAAACAGGAAAAGGAAGAGAGGTTAGGCATTTTACAGAAAGATAAGTTTAGCACGACTTATTTGCGACAAAACATTGCGAGATTTGTTTTTTAATCACTCATGTTATAGAAACACACGAGCATATTGCTTTAAATATGCAGAAAAACACGGATATGGTGATAATTTTTGGTCCTCGAAATGATGTGAAATAGTATAGTCGACACTGACGTAAAATAAGTTTGTTTCCCTACAACTTTCATTACGGCCTCAGGCGATGCGCCCAAGTTTTTGGAGTAATTACGTTGCAGCTTCAATTCCCGCTGGGGGCGCTCACGCGTGAGTAGCGCCACCAAGCGTGGGGGAAATGCCGCTTTTGGATTGGGCGCCCATGCCGAAATGCCAAAAACTCTGGTTGGGCACAACCCTGGGTCGTAATATCTACGTTACAGAAATCCAGAAGTGGATACAGTTGTTTGTTGTTTCATGGTTGTTGTTGTTGTTTGTTTTGTTTTGTTTTGTTTATGTAAACCAATTAGGAAGAAGATGGTTATTGTCTCGATAAAATATTATTAACCTTTCGGTCTTACTTTATACAATTTCAAAGGCACTTTTTATATGTTGAAAAAATATTGAAGAGGGGCACCTTAACGGCTTAAAAATACGATATTAGGTACGGTTGTTGTAAGCAAAGAGAAAAGAGGGGGCATCTATTATGCGCCCCTGGACGGCGGGGGGTTAACCTGTCGGCGCACACCCGGCCAGCGAGTAGAATAAGCGGTTAAAAATGGTCAGTCAATAGGACGGGCATATCATCCCCGCCTACTTTACTGGAAGCCGGGTGGGCTTCGGGTCACTTTGATGCCGTTTTTCAAGGCAAGGGTCAGGAGGTCATAATCTTCATCGTCGTCGGTCGATGAAATGAGCCGATGAAGGCGATCGGAGTCGGAGTCAAGGCCAGAGGCGGAGGAAGAGGCGCCAGTGTCGATACCGGAGGAGGTGTTGGACCAGGTGTTGGAGAAGATCGCGCGCTAGAATAATTGAGTTGAGAAAAGATGATGCAATTTCAGGCTTATAGGATGTTACACCCTTAAAATAAACAAGTGTTTTAAGGATGTAAGGGGGCTTAAAAGAGCTTTGTGTTCAAAATTGACCTCTGCGCGCACTTGGGTTAAAGAGAGCTTACGCCAGAGGGTTAAGACTTCAGAATTGTCAATGTAAAACATTGATATTGTTAATGTTTCGAAAAAGTCGGCGCGCCCGCTTTTTGATTGTAAAAATGTTATGTTTACGGCCCGCTAACATTGCAGGCAGGAAAATGTAAAGCATTTTAGAAAAACTACGCTCGCTCGAGGAGGTGTATTTTGGGCGAAAATAAGCGGATGGTTGATAGGGTCAACATGACGGTCCAAATCGTTTTTTTGATTTGACCCAAAACGCAACGGGCACTATCTAACCCGCAACGAGCTGCCGGTGAGCGCCCTTAGTGATGACATAACCTGATAATGAGTTTAAATCGAGCTGATAAGGACGTGTAGAAAAAGTACGTGGAGGAGGAATCTACAAATCTGAAGATTAGGACCAGAATCCAGCTCGACTTTGAAAAAACACTGGGCGGTAAAGAATACGAAGTAATCAGCCTTGAATACGAGAACTGGCGAAATTCAAGCGTACACGAAAATTTTTCACGCGCGAGAGGATTTTCGCTGCTCCCATTTAGCATAAGTACTGTGATTTCATTACAGAATTACGTCATTTTTCGCTTCTAAGGCTTCTTGAATTCTTGGTTAAATTTAAGGGTATCAGCAAGATAATAATACCCATAAAATGCTTTTTATTAAGAAAAGTAAATATTTTAATCTTTATCTAATTTTCGAAAATATAAATTAAAAAATAGAACTATCTGTACATAACCCGCTTTATGGTGATTTTTAAGGGTATCGACAACGATATGATAAAATATTCAATAAGAGTCATTTCTATCCGGAAAGGTCTATTCTTTACGAATTATTATTGATTGAGAATAAGTTCGAAATATTTGACTCGTAAAAATTCGACGGTAAAGCTTGTCTCCTAAAATTAAGGGTATCCTCACCTTGTGTCGAATATTGCTGTCCTGATCGGACAGCTCTTCCGACGAGCAGGCAAGAATCGGCGCATTGAGGAATCCATCCTGCGTCTTGTTGATCTGGAAGCTCGGTCGATGGAGCGAGTCCTTCAATCGCATGCTCTGGTGAGCCATCTCCTCGGCCAAACCTGGCTTGAGAAGACCAACTCGGAAGTTGAGCGCTTCAATTCGCTTTCGAAGGACTCCAACGACGAACTTGGCGACGCGCGCGGTCAGGAACTCGACAATGGCGCAGAAGCTGCCTTTGTACTCGGCGGTATCGATGAACTTGTGGCACTCTTCGGGGAAGCTCTGGCCGACGGGGATGATCTGGATGTTGGAGATTTCGCCATAGGGGTGGAAAAAGCCTGAAAAGAGTAAATTAGTTGCTGAAATCTCCAGTAGTTGTTCTTGTCAAAGGAGCTTATTGTTCCCGTTATCAGCGGTAGTTTATTAGATTACGAGCGTGCGGAGCGGATTTTTGACGAATCAGTGATTCAGGCAACCGCGAAAGGTTATCGCGAAAAATGAAAACAACGCCACTTAGCGGTGATTTGCGGTTAATTTCAAGAAGTTCAAAATCTTTGAAAATTTAACTTACCAGCTAAGGTGGTAACAGATCGCATTGGCGCAGGAAGATCGGCCAGGAAAAGCTCGCAATGGGGCTTGACCTTTGGCTCCTCGACCTTGGGCGCTTCGACGACGACTGGCTTCGGCTTGGTGACCTTCTTGGTGAAGTTGCGTCGCTTGGGCTCGCAGCCGGGGGCCCGGGCGGGCACGGCTTCGAGGCCAGCTGGTCGTTGGCGCATGTGGGGTGGGACGTACTTTCCGGCGACGAATTGCATCTTGAGTTGGGAGTTTTTGGTTGCTTGAGTCTGGAAAGAAGGGTTAAAAAGGAACAATTGAGAAAGAAAGAGATAAAGAACTTGACATCGACGATTTTTTCAATTCCAAATTTCAAATTTGCGGCTTGGAAGAGACATGCTTTCATGACAACTCTCAGAAAGCTGTCATCCTTGCGGAGGTGCTAAATTCTAGCCTAATCATATTTTAAGGGTTGGGCGCAGATTTATGAGGAGCAAAAAAGCTGATTTAGCGGTTAATTTCTTAGCTGCTTTCAGAAGAAATTTCTTATTTTGAAGGCGTTTTTTGATCTGGCTTTGGCGGGTTTAATTTAACACGGGTTCTTGCTTAGTCGGTACTTTTCTTGAGATCTTCTAGAAGCTGAGTTTTTAACCCGCTTCCGCGCGTTTGGGAAGAACAAATCCGCGCGTGACGTGGATTGAACTGAGCGCGCGCGGGAGGGTTAAGCTTTTTTGATGGATTGAACATGTGTCAATATATTCAATAGATTCAAAAAGAAGGAGGGAAAATATTAACTCGGAAAGGACTGATCCCGGAGCTCGACTGCCGCGATAAAAACATCAATAGATGAGTGGCATTTCGAGTTAAACCCTAGCAAGCACACACACGGGCCTGTTTTTTGCCATTCTAAATAATTTGTGGTGGTTGCTAGAATGTCACAACTCGCCACAATAGATTGAGGATAGCAAACGATTGTGAGATGTTTCCCTTTGGATTAGCCACAAGAATTTATAGGAAAATGTAGAGAAGATAAAGAGGAATGTCTTTGGTTGTTTTGGGCCACGTTTTTCGAAGTTTATGTCGAAAGAGGCATTTTTTGGGCATTTAGAAGGAAATGGGTTAAAATTAAAAAAAAAAATTTGATAAAAAATGGTCCTTTTTTGATCAAATAAGGGCCATTTCAGGCCCGTTGTCCATCATAGGGCCATTTTTGACAGTCTTTGCGCCAAGGGGTTAAGACGAAAAGCATTATTCTTTTTTCAGAGAAAGCAAACTTCGTTAGAACTCATTTATCTTCTTTTCTTCGTTGGAAGAAGAGAAGCAATAAATACCGGAACGGTTAGGTTTATCCGCCCGGACACTTTAGTGAGCCTTTCGCCTTCCGTTACTCCTGCTGCCGAGGGTTAAATTACCCCGGAACGTATCCGTCCCGGATTACTCGGGAGCGGCTCAGAACAAACATGAATGGCACCGTTTTTTATTTCCAAGCGTTTCAGAAGGTAGTAAGCCTCAAATCCACGAGCATTAGCGAAGAAAAATTTCGACAACGGTTTTCTCCAAGAAATCGACGTGTTAATTCTCGGCTTAACCCTCCGCCGCGGTGGAGGGGCTTTTTCTTATCGGGACTCATGCTGCTTTCCTGCGTTTCTAGTGCTCGTGGGTGTGATAAGAGCTCTCGATCTCCCGCTGTGCAATTTTACGAAATTCTGATTTCATAAAAAATAATCTGTTCCAAAAAAATTCTCGCAATTTTACAAAAACGTGATGGTGTTTCAACCACTGTAGCTGCTCAATTTTCTAGAGCAGCAGCTGCACCGCGTGCCCAGAAAATTGACATTCGGATCAGCGCGGGTTAAAACGTACGGGCGAGAATGTCAAGAATTAAGGTGACCAACGGCTCTTTAGATGGTTCAAAATCAAGGAGCGTTTTTAACCCGTTTTAGCCGATTGCCAATTTATTGGTATGAATTCTTGAATTCATTAGTTGACGCCCTTATTTTGAGTCCAAAAAATCTCAAAATTATAACCCGTTTAGGTCTCTTACCAAATTTTTGGATAAAAAATTTTTGGCTCAAAAAAGAGCGCCTTATTTTAGAAATAATTTTATTCACGTTTTTCTCCATGTTTTCCGAAATGTCAAAAACCGCTTGTTCGCTCTTTTTTTCTGTTAGAAGGAACATTTTTCAATGTTCCGAGCAGTGGATAACACCAGCTACCGATAAAAGAAGCGCTGTTGCTTGAGGTTTTTTTCGCTGGTGATAAGGAGGTTAGCGATTATCATTGTTGAGCAATTCAGTCAACGATTTCTAATGAAAATTTTACGGTGGCTGGGTTATTTTGATAGTAAGCGGGGATTTTTTGAGAAGATGATTAAGGTGCTCCAGCTTGATAAACAAATATATTCAGAGGATATAAATGGACGGTATACCCTTAAATTGGGCTTGATCTTTCTTTTAGGAACTAAAAATAAGGGTGTCACTATGCTAAATCTATAGGAAAAGCCAGCAGAAAAACCATGGTTTTCGATCCTTACACCCTTAATTCGACCAGTTTTTAAAAGATCAAAATGTGGGTTGATCCGTAAAAAGAAGCTCCAAAAGGACAGATTGTTTGGTTCGCAATGTAAACATTCTGCCTAAACATTATGACACAAGACGCCTGCTTCTCCTTTCAGGAAAAGGGAGGGTACATCCTTAGGAGCTTGTCTTATCAGCGTTTTTATCTGTGAAATCTGGCGAGATCGGCTTAAGAAGGCTGAGACGTGAGAGGCTTTTAAGCCTGCTCTACCCCATCCGATCTTGAATTTGATCCGCTTCTTTTTTTGCTACCTTGATACCCTTAGTTCAAAATCAAGCTGGATCTCAAGCTCTATCAAGCCCTTAATTGCATTTTGTTTCTAGAGCCCTCCACTCCAGATTGAAAAGAAGCAATTAAGTGGATCGCCACTTGTTGAACAAAGGAGGTTTTGCGATAAACAAGTTTCATTAAAAGAAAATTGATATCAGCTTTCAGCTCCTTATCATGGTCTCCCGCTGCGCCAGGTTTTTCCATGCTCTAACGAGTGAATTTTCAAACCGCGAACGAGTTATCTTTACTGAACAAACGTGTAAGAAGAAAACTGATAAGGAACTCTCTTTTCTACTTTAGAAAAAAGGCAAAATCCTTTCAAGTGTTGAAAATACTTGAGTTACACCCTTAAGTTTTCGCTTTTTTCTAAAAAGCTGGACAGCAGCCTTTTGGATAGCATATTCCTTCAAAGAAAAACATGTAAAACGATCCAAAAGCTCTTGAGAAAGAATCTGGCTAGAACGGTCTTAAGGGTGTAACCTCGAGAAAGAGGAAGATTTTGCGGCACGGTTTGCACGTGTGAAGTGCGCGGGGACGTAAGTTGAACCGCACTTATTTGAGATTTTGAGTACTGTGGAACTCAAGAAATAAATTGAGGCGAATCAGAAGAGCGGCTCTTAAGGGTATCCCCTCCATTTTCAAGTTTCGGATCGTCTCAGATTTCAAAATTGATGATTCATCGTTTTTCTGGTTTTTATCGAGCGCTATCACCTTAATCTGCCGATTCCCTTATCACATCAAAGAATCCCAAGAACGAATATAATTAATCCGCCCTGTCCCCTTATCCTTCCGAGTGTCAGGTTCTTTTTTATGCAACGAGAAAAATACGGGAAAAATAAGCAGCTGAAAGGAAATCGCGCCTGGCAAGTGTTGAGTTCCAGACGGCTTAGATTTCTGTTTTTAGCGCTCCTTGTTCTGCGGATTTGGATTTACACGAAACGATGACCACACCCAGAAATCGGAGAAAGCTGTTCAGCCGCGTGAAAGTAACTGATTATCGCAATCGCGGGATTTAGCGGGTTAGCCCTTAACATGTTAGAACAGCTTCCGAATTTCCGATGAAAATATTGAAGAAACACCCTTAAACTGCCTGAAAGATGACGAAAATGCACAAAAAGGCCATGTTTTCCGACCAGGTTAAAATTGGTTTCAACCCTAACGATGAGAAACGGGAGGTTACCCCCTTAAAATCATTGAAAACGAATAGAAATGCACAAAATGAGCAGATTTGTCCCAATAGGTTAAAAGATGTTTTCAAAGTTTTGAAGCCATTATGGAATGAGCCCCCTTAAGCCGCAGCTGGAATGAATTCAAGTGGTTAAATCCACTTTTCTGCTCCCCACTTGTATTATCACAAGCATGAGGTTAACCAAAGCAACCTGCGACCTTGACCGCAGCCCCGAAAAATATACAGTCATGCTTATCCGAGAAGAGAATAATCAAAAACGCGCAACGTTTGGAAAGAGATTTCCACTAATTTCCGTGATTCGTGGAGAAAAAACCGCTAGAGCAGAAACGATCGAAATTCGTGGTAAACCATGTGGTGAAGTAAACTCTCCGACGGACAAATTTACCCGCGGCTATAATTGGCGATGCGCCAACCGGGAGCCAGAGGCCCGTTTTTCCAAGAGAATTGCATAAGTTTCCAGGGAAGAAATACGCTTTTCTCTGGGAAAAGAAAGAAAATGGCCTTTTTGCGCCGATGGGTTAAATATTCAAAAACAGGTTAACTAAAATTTTAGCTACGAAAATGGAAAATACACTGAAAATTAGGAAAAAAGCTCCAAAAAAGCACGAAAAAGGCCATTTTGTTCAAACAGGTTAAAAAACAAAATCGGCTCAAAATGTGCCAAAATCATTTGGAATTGAAAAAGTCGAGTTGAAACCCTTATTTTTGATGTTTTTCTTACCTCGAAATTCAAAAAACCGTTATCGGTTTTGCTTGATTTTGTACTTTCTCTATCGAAGTTTTTCGGCTTGGAAGAAGGCTTGCTTCAAATTTTCTCGGGACGATATTTTCTTAGGACTTGGATTGGATAATTACCACGTGGATTTGATTAAAAGGAGGATTGGAGGAAATTGAGCTTGGAGATGACAGAATCGACTGACTTGTGGCCTCTGGTACAGGCTGTCGCGACGAACTGTATCGTACGTGGGACGGGTTAAAAAAGGGACTAAAAAGTGAACCCTGAAATCGGGATCTTCGAGATACTTGGTTTGGTTTGGAGGAGCAAAATTCGCGATGCATTTCGCCGTCCGGGGTGGCGCAGCGCCCGGCAGGAGGCGATAAAGAGCCGCTCCACCGCCACCAGCAGCTAGCACTCATCGGGTTTTTGATCAGCGCCGCAGGAGATTTGCGCGAATCGGATCAAGCATCTAATGTTGTGATAAGCAAAGTAGTTGGTTATGCAATTTCGAAAAAAGTAAACCCAGCGCCCAGCTTTATTAACATCTCCAGACTCAAAGCTTTAATTAGATTTAGACCGGAATAAAAACATTAGAAGTAATTCAATAAATTTTGGTAGTGACTCATTTCGAGGACTTACTCAAAATCAGCACAGTAATCATGAATGAGCAAGACATTCAGAGACATCCAAAGACATTTCGGAATATTTTGATAGCAAATGTCGTCATTTAATGACATCTGAGGAGGATATTTGCTCAAAGTAAGGACATTTTGATGCTTTTTTGAATGTCTGAATGTCTCTGAATATGTCAAATATCTTTAAATGACATAAGATGTCCACATTTGATGTTCAAAGTAATTCAGAATGTCCCTTGAGGTTCCTGAATGTCTCAAATATCATTGATGACTACATTTTGTGTTAAAAATATTCCAAAATGTCCCTGAATGTCATGAAGATAAGAGACATTTCGAAACATTTATAGACATTTGAAGATTTCATGACATTTGAACGATGATGTCACAAATTGGAACGAACAAACTATGCGTCTTGCTAAAGAAAAGATTTAAAATAAATGATTATATGAAAAGTGAGGATAAGGGCTCGAATTCATTGACTTTTCGCGGTCTAAAAATCCAAATTGTTTACCCTTGTTTGCTCACTTGCATACAATTGCTGTTTGAAGAAGGGTAAACACCCGGCGCAATCAACATCGATAATTTCGCAGGAAATGTTATAACCAGCCTAAATATTTTGATCCAGCATTCAAAAATTTAATTTCAAAATAATCATCAAAATGATTATCAAAATCTTATTTTTACTTTATCAAAAAATTTAACCCATTGAAGACAATTGACCAAAAAACAGCTGTTAGGCTTTTAGAGTCAAAAAAAAACTCGCTCTTACGACTAAAAACCGTATTTTTACCTAAGCAGAAAAAGATATTTTGATAAAAACGCGATCTTTCCCATTAGAACCGTTTGCAATAAAAAACAATGTTCTTTGATTGAAGTGAATACAAACTCAAATGCAATAAAATTAACCACCATTTAGCAAAATTGTTCAAATCTGGTCGAAAAGGTTAAAACTATTTCTTTCAGAAATCAGTTTTGGGAACCCTTCCTGTCGAATTGAAACCCAAAATATATTCTTTTTGGACTTTTTTCGTCAAAATTTTGGTCAAATTTTCTTGACTAAAAGACTGGACTCGGAAACCTGTGTAGAAAACCTGAGTCAGGGTCCTGAAAGAGCTTTATTTTAGCGGCTTTCGCGAATTCAAGCTCTTTCAGAACCCTGACTCAGGTTTTCTAGACAGGGTGACGAGCCTTGTCTTTTAGTTGAAAAAATTTGACCAAAAAATTCCAAAAAGAATCTCTTCTGGGTTAAAAGTTGACCGGAATGATTCCCGGTTTTTCGAGCCGAGTTCCGACCCAGTCCGTTAAAGGCTGACCTCATCCTTGGAATCTGAAATTCGAGCTATTTTTACTCAACATAAGAAAACCCAATATCTGTTTCGTGTTTCGTGGCTCCTCGCTTTTGCTGTCAATTTATCATAATAACAATGATCAGCAAAAAAGCGCAAGAGACACCCTTCAGCTGCGCAAGTAAGAAAAAGTGTCTAATAGATTGTTCAACAAACAGCGTTCGTCAAAACACACTTTCAAGTGGTGGTCCTTACAGAGCTTCGAAACAACAAAGCAGAATTACGGATTATTTCATCGAATATTTTCAACATTCAAATTTTCAAAACCGCGGAAAAGCAACTGTTATGACTGCAGCTTCCGTTTTCTTTGCTCTTTGTAAAAAGCGCCCCAATCCGCTCGGTAAAAATATAACGCTCATTCGAAAAAGCGAAATTGCTACTTGAAAGCTTCAATTTTCATGAACAACATTTTAAACATGGAACTAGCGGATGTTCATTTTTTAGAAGCCAGTGCTTTTTTAGAGCTTTTCTAGCTTTTTAAGGGGGTAGATATTAAGAATGGGATTTTCCGTCAGTGTTTTCTCAAATTTTTAACATAGTGACCCCCCTTATTTTTTCTGCTCAAAATATATATTTTATGCAATTAATTTTGAGCAGAAAAATAAGGGGAGGTGTCTGGAACCGACAAAAAATTTTGTATGGAAATTTTCAACCAATCAGAAGCCTGGATTCGGCAAACTGGCCAATTAGCAGCCGAGTAGCCGCCTACGCAAAATTTGTCGAAATTTTTGTCGGTTCCAGCCCAAAAATAAGGGGGTCACTATGTTAAAAATCTAAGAAAACACTGACAGGAAACCCATTCTTGATATCTACCCCTTAACTGTTCTATTACATTTTCGATGATTTGGCAAATTTCGCTTGTCATAAATCCGGGCTCATCGTTTATATTCAGCTGCCAGTTTATGATTTCACGAGTCTGGGACGAGCATCAACTTCGCCGAAATGCGACTGTTTCTGTCGATTTTCGTGAACTCACAATTGGCGCTCGATCCAATTTTGCTCATGTTGACCCAAAGCGATAAGAAAAAAACGACATGGTTTTAATTTTAATGTTCTCCACGCATCTGCGAGATTTTTCCATTTATCAGACGTGTCTCCCGATCCATCTAAACAAGAGAGAATTTACCTTACCGCCAAGCATAAATGTTTTTATCAGCGCAAAAGGGGATTGAACCGCTTTCCCCCCATTCGAGTAAATCTCGTAATCTTGTCTTTTTCAATATTACGAGGGAAAAATTCAACAGCGAGGATGCTACAAAGAGGTTCATTCTAGGGCACTTGTATTGGAACTGTCATTGTTTCGGGGGTTCTTAGAAGCAATTTTGATTGAATTAAGGGTGTCAACATCAATTATTTTTAGACTTTATTTTTGTTTAAGAGGATAACTTAAGAGGATAAATCTTTAATAAAGAGGATATTTAAGGATCCCCCTGTCGACCTAGGCGATTTTTCAAAAATTTTTTTCAGCCTGTAAACTTAAGGGTATCACCAAGTTAAGTATTTCTTGCCCTAAAGCTTTTTCTAAGCTTCATTTTGATACCAAAATATGAAAGAATTCTAAGGGTATACGGAGAGAAAACTACGTTTGAAAATTCCAGCAATATCGACGGGGGTGTCCTTAAGAAAAATGAATAAAGATTGAAAAAAATAAAAAATATTAAATTATTGCTGAAATTAAATATCAATAACTATTTCGCAATTATTTTCGACTCAAAAATATTGAGACGAAAAAACCGGTAGTTATTAATAATAATAACTTATTATTTACCATGGGCTTATTACAGAACTCAAAGTAGCTCAATTATGAAAACAAATATTTATCCTCTTATTGGAATAAATGAATTCTAAACCAATAAATTAATTATTGACAATAATAAATTCAAAATTGATGATAAAAACAAAGATTTTGGCAACGGTAATCTTCCGGAGAAATGACAAATTCGCTCACAATGCAGAATTGATAAAGAAAAATTGGACTTGGAGGTTGAAATTCTGTCGTTATTTTATCTTCAACTACGTCCGGAGATTAGGCGCAGCGTATCCATTACGGTCCTTGAACAAAAATTTTCCGCGAAGATATCACTACTTACTAGAACTGTCTCTCCTCCAATTCTGGTTGGAGCAATTAAAAACGGGCAAAAATCAAGTTTATTTCGACGAACAATGAAAATCAATGCCGGATGAGCGGGGAGCAAGGAAAATTAGACCGCAATGAAAAAGAAAAACAAACGAAATTTCGAGCCACGAAATTTCCTGCTTTTCAAAATGATTTTTAAAAGCAGAAATGATTGTGTGGCAAATTCTGAGTGGCAGCATTTTGAGCTAAAATGTCACCACCAAGTTAACACTCTCTCTTTTGGCAAAACTGAACTTGTCATTTGCTATTTTCACTCTCCACGGATCTTAGTTTTCAGTAACACCGTTTCTCCTTGATTGTAAATTGGCCACTCTACCGATTGATGTTTTCGTAATCTTTCGAAAGGCGATTTTTTCAAAACTCTGATTTTTTGTGCGAAGAAGAAAAAGTGCTTCTGTCAGGGTTTTATGGTGCGTCGAAAGCGGTTCTTAACTGACCTCAGAAAATGTGCGGCGGATTCTGTAGCTCCCACGTTACTTGCTCTAGCGGAACTTGAGAAAGCAGGGATACACTGCGTAGAATTAGAGGATGCTTGAGTCAGGATTAATTGAACCAGCAGTTTTTCGCCGAAAAGAAATATTGAAATCGGAACTTTTTTAATCCGATCTTTGGCTCGAAACCTGCGTAGAAACCTGAGTCAGGGTCCTGAGAGCATATGAAGGCTTTTGGACCCTGAGTCAGGTTTCTACACAGTTTTTCCGGGAGGTGTCTAGAGTCGACAAGAAAATTTTGACAAATTTTGCGTGGAAATTTTCGACCAATTAGAAGCCTGGATTCGGCAAACCGTTCAATCAGCAGCCGAGTAGCCGCCCACCCAAAATTTGTCGAAATTTTTGTCGGTTCCAGACACCACCCCGTTTTTCGTCTCGAAAATTTCGAGTGAAATATTAGATTCAATTGTAAATAAAATTGAGAGAAATTCTGAGTCTCAATAATTTAATATCATAACATGTTTCTTCCTAATTTTTGAGTGCAACTAAAAGCCCATATTCTGATCAATCTATGGTCTGTGGTCTAAAAATAAACTTTATTGTTGCTGCAAACACGCAATTGAATAACCCCATCCAAGAACTGCAGAGCGGAAAGAGCCGGTTTTTTCCACGTCTCCGGATCAGCGTTTTGACTCGCCGGATGCAGCGTGAGTGGCCAAGTTCGTCGAAAAAATTCAGTAACGTTACTGAAATCTTATTCGCGCTTGGAAATCCGGCTGATCCGGGGGTGAGCTCGAGTGTTCAAGGTATTCACTAAACTGTTGTAAATGCTACTTGAGCTAGCCGCCGTGACCCTACCTTGGAAATGGCCGTGTCGATTACAAACTCCAAGTCTATTCCACTTTTTGCACTTGGTAAAAAATGAAAAATAAATTTATCGTATTTTTAGATGCTGCAACGAATTGTGGTATTCTTGGATGGGGTTACTCAATATCGTGTTTTTAGCAACAATAAAGTTGTATTTTTAGACCACAGATTATAAGATCCGTTTTCCAACAGCACTCGAAAATAAGAAAAAAAAAGAAACATGTTGTGAAATTAAATTATCGAGACTAGGAATCGCCCATATCAACAAATTTCTCATAACAGCTTTAGCAAAAGTGTTTATAAGAGTTTTATTGAAGTTAATCAAAAGTCGACAGTTTAGGAATTTCGGACAAGGAAAATCGACATTTTAGGGATTTTATTATCAAAATTTACTAGTAACCTATACTTTATAGGCTACTAACCCTAACTTTATAGGTAACTAGTAAATTTTGATAATAAATGCCCTAAAATGTCGATTTTCATTGTCCAAAGTTCCTAAATTGACGACTTTTGATTAGCTTCAATAAAGGCTAAACTTTAGTTCTTCAGTAAAAAGGGTGAACCACGGACATAATTTTTTACGTCACGAACTAACCAACCGATCAGGGCAGCGTTCACATTAAGGTGACTACAGGTGATAAATTTGCAAAATCTGCGTTCATTAAAATTTGCGGTTAACAAAATTTTCGATCATTTCATAATCTCACATTCCGTTTTTCTCCTCTTCTTTTGGAATTCAAAAGCTTTTAGAAATCGGGAAGGTTCAATGCCGAGGATAAATTCACCAGGTGCCAGATTGCACAAAAATCGTATTCCAACATTCATTTACCAAATATGCTCGATTCTCCGTGTCGAGTTATTTCTGGCTGAAGCTATATTGGTCAATTAATCCGGTAATGCTTTATTTATAGAAGCCCGGAGATGAATCTCTTTCAAGAAAAACGTTGCCAAAGAAAATCCCGCGAAGCAGAATCCAAATTTTAAAAAAAGCATAAACCTAATCAAACTCCGCTTAACCAACGAACTACTCGACGAGAAATATACGTGAAAGGT